CCCTTTACAATTTTTTTCTTGTTATAGCATTGTTTGCAACAAACTCGTGCATTTTTTATTTTATTTATTTTTATTTTTTTAAAGAAGTTATCTATTTATTTGAGAGAGAGCGGGAGAGGGAGAAGTGGACTCCCCACTGAGCAGAGACCCCCGATGCGGGACTCGATTCCAGGATCCTGGAATCATGACCTGAGCCAAAGGCAGACGCTTAACCGACTTAAAACAACACCCAGGCGCCCAAACTTGTGCATTTTTTAAAAGTATACCCTAGAAATGATTCTCTGTGAAGCAAATTAAAGCACTTGCAAATTTGAAAAGTAGGGCTGGTAGCTTTTCTCTGTAGGGACCCATAACCAGAGCAATTCCATAGTGTCCTGAAATGACACAAATTTTAAAAAAATGGGGATCAAAGATGAGATCAATAGACTAGTATATATGCAGTCTATTTAAATTGCCTGCAATCTAAAAATAATTCATATTTGGGGGCACCTGGGTGGCTCAGATGGTTAAGCGTCTGCCTTCGGCTCAGGTCATGATCCCAGGGTCCTAGGATCGAGTCCCGCATCAGGCTCCCTGCTAGGTGGGAGCCTGCTTCTCCCTCTGCCTCTCTCTCTCTCTCTCTCTCTCTCTCTGACTCTCATGAATAAATAAATAAAACATTTAAAAAAAAATAAAAATTAAAAAAATAAATAAATAAAAATAATTCATATTTGCTTTGGATAATTACCTCTTGTTACTCCAACTTTAAAATTGTGCCTTCCTTGTTCTGTTTGTCATATCCTTCAGTTCCCTATGCCATCAAGCACAAAGCTGAGTGTATAGTAGGTCCTTGGTTTATAGTATTTGTAGATTTTATTTCACTAAGCTTATTCTCTAATTTAACAAATCAATTCCCTTAATCTCTATGAATGTGTTGTTCATTTATTAACACGTCAATTGTCAATATGCCTGGACGAATAATATATGGGTACTCTTCTAATTAACTTTAATTAACTTTCACACTCATTAACTCTTTTCTATAATAATGTACAATATGCAAATGAGGAAAATCAATCTTAGAGAGATTAAATGGCAGAATTGAGGCCAGATCCCCAAAGCCAGTGTTTGTTATATTATAACATAATTCAAAAAATGTTCTCAATATCTAGGGAATTAGGCCCTTTAGGCACCTCTCAGCTGTTCTAAATATGAAGCTGAGTCATTCCAATCCTAAAATGAAGTCAATAATTACCTTTCTGTTCATTTAATTTGAAAAGTATCTATATTATGCATATCATTAAATGTATATCCTGCTTGGGAATCCAGTGGTAATAAAATGTTTAATTGAAGTCTTACTGGTATTTGAGTTCTCATTAAGCAAAAAGAAGACATTTTATTTTATTGTTCTTGCTCAAAAAGTTAGCGTATGTTTCAACTCTCCACTTGCCCCTTCCTTTTTTCTTTTCAGTAGACTTTATTATTTTAGAACAGTTTTGGATTTACAGAAAAATTAAGAACCCAGTACAGATTTCTCATATACCCCCCACAGAGTTTCCCCCTATTATTAACATATTTAGTATGGTACATTTGTTACAATTAATTAACCAATATTGGTACATTATTATTAATTAAGGTCCATAGTTTATTTAGATTTTCTTTGTTTTTTGTTTTTGTTTTTGTTTGAGAGAGAGAGAGCACATGTGTATGGGGTTGGGGAGGAGGGGAAGAGGGAGAGTGTGAGAGATAATCTTAAGCAAGATCCACTGACACAGGGCTTGATCTCATGACCCTGAGATCATGACCTGAGCTGAAATCAAGAGTTGGACCCTTAACTGACCCTTAACCCACCAAGGCGCCCCTAGATTTTCTTATTTTTTAACCTAGTGTAATTTTTCTGTTCCATGATTTCATCCATGATGCTACATTATACTTAGTTGTCATCTCTCCTTTAGCTCCTCTTGGCTAGTTTCTCAGACTTTCCTTGTTTTTGATAAGCTTGACAGTTTTTTTTTTTAATACAGGTCAGGTATTATAGGATTCCCCACTATTAGAATTTGTCCAGTGGTTTTCTCAAGATAACACTGGGTCTATAGTTTACTGAAAGGAAGACCACAAAGGTAAAGTGCCATTTTCAACACGGCATATCCAGTGTACATACTACCAACATGACTTATGACTGTTTATGTTGGCCTTGATCAACGGGTAGGCTCCATAGCTCAGTGGTCAGAGCACTGGTCTTGTATGTTGGCCTTGATCACCTGGCTGAAGTAGCTTTGGTCAAGTTTCTCCAGCATAAAGTTACTCTTTCCTCCCCTCCTTTCTATACTGTACACTATACCTAGCCTACACCTAAGGAGTAGGGAGTTAGGTGTTATGCTTATCCTTTCCTTTTTGTCTAGTATCTTACATTTCTCTTTTGGATATCTTAAAGTAGTTCTAAAGAAAACCATAGATCATGAGGGTCTGACACAAAGTCCCTTTCTTTTACATCCTAAATTCAATCTCTAATCAAATCCTGTTGATTTTACCTTCAAAATATATCTAGAATCCAACCACCTCTCACCACTTCCTTTGCTACTGCTCTGGTTCAAGCTACCATCAGTGTCTTCCCTAGGTCATTGCAGTAGCTTGCAGTAGCTTTCTAACTGGTCTCCTTGCTTCCCCTGCCCCTATGGTTTATTCTCAAAGTAGCAACCACAGTAGTCCTAAAACCTAAATCCCGATCATGTCAGCCCCCGTTTAAAATATTCCAGTGGTTGGGGCACCTGGCTTGCTCATTTGATAGAGCATGTGACTCTTAATCTCGGGGTTTTGAGTTCAAGCCCCACACTGGGCGTGGAGCCTACTTTAAAAAAATAATAATACAATAATAAAAAAAAAATCCTGGTGGCTTCCTATTTAACTCAAAAGTGCAGCCAAAGTCTTATCATGGCCTCTAAAGCCCTGTGTGGTCTACCAATACCTCCTCCCCCTTCAACCCTTAATATTCTTCTCCTCACTCACTCTGCTAAGGACATACTGGTATCCTTGGTTTTCCTTGAAGATGCCAGGGAGCTCCCTCCCCAGGTCCTTTGCACTTAATGAAACTCATGACAGCCATCCAGGTGGTCACTTGGATCTTTCTCCAGAAAGATCATGCCAATCAGCTGCAAAGCAAACACTTGGCTAGCAGCCTCTTGCTGTGGCCTTCAGGATCTGCTTTAGCTTGGTGCTTTCTTTTTCTGAGAAGCCCCAGGCAATGCCTAAGCACAGCAAGGATTCTAGCCATTTCTGCCTAATGCGGGACTCTTCTAATGGGCAGTCGTTGTTCCAGAGCTCCCTATTGGGTTGACCAACACTTTGTCAGACATGCACCAGTGTCTGGGGCTCTTCCTACTCACACCAGAGCCGAGAAACCCATCATCATTTCTCTTAAAATGTGTGCCCTAGGGGCGCCTGGGTGGCTCAGTCGTTAAGCATCTGCCTTCAGCTCAGGTCAAGATCCCAGGTTCCTGGGATCGAGCCCCGCATCAGGCTCCCTGCTTGGCGGGACACCTGCTTCTCCCTCTCCCACTCCCCCTGCTTGTGTTCCCTCTCGCTGACTCTCTCTCTCTGTCAAATAAATAAATAAAATCTTAAGAAAAAATGTGTGCCCTAGAGTCTAAGAATTTTTTCAGGAAAGCAGAGAAGCAAATGACATTCTATAGAGCATGTATCTCTTGGCTAGGTCTTTTTTTTTTTTTTTTTAAGATTTATTTATTAGAGAGAGAGGAAAAGCATTTATACACCACCAAAGCAGAGGAGGAGGCAGAGGGAGAAGAGAATCTCAAGCAGACTCCCTGCTGAGTGCAGAGCCCCACCCTGGGATGATCTCAAGACCTCAGCTCATGACCTGAGCTGAAATCTGGAGTCAATTGCTCAACCAGCTGAGCCACCCCGGCACCCCTCTCTTGGCTCGTTTGATACATTTTTCAGGTTAGTGTTTTAGGGATGCCTGGCTGGCTCAGTCAGTTAAGCGTCTGCCTTCAGCTCAGGTCATGATCCCAGGGTCCTGGGATCCAGTCCCCCCATCTGGCTCCTTGCTCAGGCGGGGAGCCTGCTTCTCCCTCTGCCTGCCACTCCCCCTGCTTGTGCTTGCGCTAACAAATAAATAAAATCTTTAAAAAGTGTTTTAACTCCTTCAAAAGAGCGGACGCTTATTCAGAACAATACAACCTACAGATGCACCGCACACTTTGACACTCCCATGCTCAGGAAACTAACATAAGTGAAAGGAGAGTAAAGTTAAGTGGCGTTTTAAAAATCCTCACTCCGCACTGTGATTTTTTTACATTTCCTCCCTTGTTTGTTTGTTTTTTTTTACATTTCCTCCCTTGGTGAATAAGGATAATAATACCCACTTTGTTGCAGGACAATCATATAAAATAATGGTGGAGAAGGCTAAGAATACATGGTTTATAAATTTAAATCACGTTCTTTTCTACGCAACGGTTTTGTTGTTACTGAAAGGAGAGGAATCTTCTTAGCTAAGAAACTAGAAGAAATCTAACTTCCCTCTCTTTGGTTCATTTAAGTAAAAAGTTTTGTCCGCTTCTAATCGCCTGGCGACAATCCGGACAGCAAGCACTTCCGGCTTCCTCTGCCACCCCCACATCCAGCGGCTTGAGCTTTTCATTGCGCATGCGTAAGGCCCGCCCCACCCCGGAACTTAACCGTTGACCAAAATGTAGTGTTTAAATCCTCCGGAATCTGATCCTGGAGAGCCGGTGGCGCACTCATTTCTCCAATGAGGCTTGGGATTGGTCAAGCGCCGATTGGTGCGGAGAGCTGATTGGCTGGTGTAGCGGCACGTCGCGGCGACCGGTGCGTGTTGCCTCTAGCACCGCCCCTGCTCCTGACGGGTCGATTTTCTGACCAGTCAGTAGGCGCGGCGCGGGCTTCGGTTTCGCGAACCTGTGTTTGCCGCCTCGGTTCCCGCGACCCCAACGTCCCAGAGGCGGGGCGGAGGCGGCGGAGGCGGCGGAGGCGCTCCTTGGAGCTGACCGCTGTTCCGGCCCAACAAACAGACCCAGCTGAGCGGAGGTTGCGGTGAGTGGGCTTTGTGTCTTGGATTCTCCCGAAGGGCAGCGGCGAAGCTCGGAGGAGGACGGTGGGCAACATTCAGGCCCCTGTGTTGGGTTCAGCCCTCCTGGAGCTTGGGACCGATGACGTGAATGGGAACTCGTGGGAGAAATAAGTCAAGCGGACCACGAATTCCTAGGAATCGTTTGTCGTTAGGTATGTGAAAGAGGTTTGCCGTCGATGACGTGCCATTTAAAGGTGTTTTTACTGTGAAAGTTTGACGGCTGAAGTGTGCTCGTTCCTGCATTCCTCACATTCAGCTCCTATGGCTACGTAGTTAAGGGGTCAGTTAATGTTTGAAGTCCGTGGTCTACTGGGAATAGTGTGTAAACAATACAGTGTGAAAATGCTCTGTGTGAACGCAGGCGGTGGTCACATTGCTGTGATGTCCAGGAGATGGTTTTACAGAGCAGGTGACATTCGATTTGGATTGTGAAGGATGATGGAGATTTACCAGGGCATTCCAGGTTAAGGGAATAGACTGTGCAAAGATGCTCAAACTCGGGGAACCGTAAACAGTTCAGTTTGGTTGGAATGTAGGATAAAGGATGAGGTTGGAATAATAAGGTGGGGCCAGACTGTGAAGGTGCTTTATTCTGTATATAAAGAAGAGCCATCAGCTTTTTTTTTTTTAAAGATTTTATTTATTTATTTGACAGAGAGAGACATAGCGAGAGCAGAAACACAAACAAGGGTAATGGGAGAGGGAGAAGCAGGCTTCCCGCAGAGCAGGGAGCCAGATGCGGGACTCGATCCCAGCACCCTGGGATCATGACCCAAGCCGAAGGCAGACGCTTAACGACTGAGCCACCCAGGCGCCCGAGCCATCAGGTTTTTAAGCAGGGGGAATAATTTGGTCAGATATACACAAATACCCTTCTAGGAGCACCCTGGGGACTTTTCAGTAAATCTGGTGGGAATTAATGAAGTCAGGAATTAAGGTCTTAGAGATGTTAAGACAGAATTTATATGGGGAAACAGGGAGGAAGGGGTGGTAAGGATAACCTCAGGGTTTCCATTTTGATAAAGGATGATACCATTATCTGTGGAGAATATGTTATGCTAGGTATAGGTGGTATGTGGTTTCAGTTTCACTGGCTTTAATTGCTTGAGTGATGCTGTCAGAATAAACTCATGTATTTTAAAATGAGAAATAGATCAACATTATTTCTTTACCCTAATACATAAAGGAAGAAGAGACAAATATGGAGCTTTAAGACTCTTTTGTTTAATGAAGAAAAATGGCATTTTATGTACTTCCTAGAGTTACAGTTACCCATCTGAATACTGTTATCGTGACGTAGAAGGGCTTTCAAGTTTAAAGACTTCATTCCATAAATGATGCATGAAGTCCAAATATCTCCAAGAGGGACTTTTTAGGCAACCTTATAAGAGCACCTTCAGATTTTCTTCTAGTAAATAATTTCAGCCCCTGGCTTTATCTGAAAAATCTCTTCTGCACCTGCATTAATAATTCTTTCCTCCCTTATCTTGCTTCAGAAAATTCCTTCTTAATAGAATTGAAGTAGAATGTACAGGGCCTAAAGAACTCTAAGACCTAATAAGAGTATAGGAAATACTGAACTGTGAAGAAAGGAATATGAGTTTTTTGTATTTTGCTTTGATAATATTTAGATGAAGATATCCAGTGGGCAATTAGAAATACAGGTTTGAAACTGAGAAGAGAGGCAGAAGCTGAGATTTTGTTATGTACAGATGGGTGTGGAAACAATGGGAGTGGCTGAGAAGTACCCAAAGAGGGCATGTGCAGTCAAAAAAAGACCATGATTCTGTAGGGAAACAACACCGTTTGTGGGGGTGCAGTATTTGTCTTCCATCTCCAGAAGATTTAAGGTTTGATAACCTTGTTATAGAACCAATAAATATCTAGTTCATTGTTCCTATGTACTATTTTGTGGTTCTCTGAATATTGTGAGGCTTTTGGTCAAATTTTCATATATTAAATACTTCCTGCTGCCTAGATTAATATTAACATTAATTTATAGGCAGAATGATTATAAAGTATGAAAATGATCAGAATCCACAAGCATTTTATCTTACTAATCTATAGATGAAGGTACTTCATAAAAGTAACCTAATTTTGCCTGCACTGTTAATATGTGGTTAAATCATGTTTCTTAATTTTTGTTTTTATCATTCATTAGTAACCTTCACTTTACTTTTTTAGGATACTGAGCATTTGAAATTGAATACATAATTCACCAACTATCACGGAGCCTACATATTCTCTTGCAGGGCCCCAGATGAATACCAGGTATAGAAACATTTTTACAAAATGTTTTTTTCACTGCTTTTCATAACCTGGGAAGATAGGTTGGAATAGAAAAAAAAACACAAAACACAAAACTTTCAAATCAGGAACATCTGGGTCCACATCCCAGCTCTACCACTTGGTAGGTGGGTGATCTTGATCAAGTTAATTAACTTCTCTAAGCTTCAGTTTCCTCATCTGTAAATGGGGGATAGTAATTTCTATGTAACAGAAGATTATTGTGAAGGATTAAATAAGATTACTAAGGTAAAGGTTCTGGCACATAGTAGGCACTTGGTAAATATTAGTTACATTCCCACCTTCCCTTTTTTGGTTTCACAGAGCATCTTTATTGATGGGAAATAGAACCTGAGCTCTTTTTTTTTTTTTTAAAGATTTTACTTATTTATTTGACAGAGAGAGAGACACAGCGAGAGAGGGAACACAAGCAGGGGGAGTGGGAGAGGGAGAAGCAGGCTTCCCGCCGAGCAGGGAGCCCGATGCGGGGCTTGATCCCAGGACCCTGGGATCATGACCTGACCCGAAGGCAGATGCTTAATGACTGAGCCACCCAGGCGCCCCAGAACCTGAACTCTTGAGGCTAAAAATCATACATATTTATTTACATCCTAGACAACTGAGGGAAAGTGACTGGGTTCCTTCCTTTGTCTAAACCTAATCCTTGATGGGAAAAATTTCACATTGGATATACCAAGTTTCTTTAAATGTCCCCCTAAGCCTTTTCCCACTCATGTAGAATAGGAAGGAGGAGCTTGCCACCTGTCCCCTAATTTTCTGTCTGTCAATACTGTGAGGATAAGGCAGATTGACTTGTGTTATTTGGCTGTTTGGATCATTTATCGTTCTTTTTTTTCCCTCTAGGGAGGGACAATTAATGCTGATATGTGATTTTTCTTTTCTTCTAAACTATAATTATATCCATGAGTTACCTTCATTCTCTGTACTTTTCTTTTTTGCCAGATGTTTTTGATGAAGACAATGGGAAACATGACCCAAAGAGGCTATCATATTCCTTTTGCTTAATTTTGGCCCTTCTGTTTTATCCTACTGCCACCTCTTATTTGAAAATTTGTCAACTTCTGTTCTTTGAAAGAACTTAGTGCAACAAGTCAATACACTCTCTTTTCTGTTTTATTTTTAGGCCAAAATCATTCCTTACATTCTAGGTAAGGTAATATACTCATGTAATTTAAATTGATTATTCCTGATATATTCAACTTAGTTTTTTTACTTATTTAATGACCTCTGGTTTTCTTTCTTTTCTTTTTTAAGATTTTATTTATTTATTTGAGAGAGAGAGTACAAGCAGGAGAAAGGCAGAGGGAGAGGGAGCGGGAGAAACAGACTCCCGGCTGAGCAGGGAGCCCGACATGGGGCTTGATCCCAGCACCCTGGGGTCATGACCTGAGCCAAAGGCAGACACTTAACCAGCTGAGCCACCCAGGTGCCCCAGCCTCTGGTTTTCAATAATCTCTGGGCTAAAAGAGTAACAGTTCTGGATTATTTAGGGGTTGCAGACCCCTTTGAATATCTGATAGCATGAATCCCCTCTGTAAGATAAAACACTTATATACATACATGTAAAATTTTGTGCTACATTTCAGGATGTTTGTGTTTACCCTGCCTCTAAAGTCTACTGTATACCTTAGATTAAGAAAAGGACTAATAGCAGCATTTATTGAAATCTTGTTATGTGCCAGGTGCTGTGCTAAGCACATTACATGCATTATTCTTCTTTAATCTTTAAACCTATGGGTGTAGGTACTATTATTATCATCCCCCCACTTTTTTTTTTTAAATGAGGAAACTGTAGTGTAGAGAGATTAACCAATGCAAAGTTATATAGTTGGTAAGTGGTATAGGCAGGATTTAAACCTGCCTATACCACTGTCACCTGATGTGACTTCTACTTTAAACCTTTTACGTATACGGACTCATTTAATATTCAATGTAACTACCAGGAGATACAGGTTAGGGAAACTGAGGCACAGAAACATTAAATAACATGAGTGAGGTCATATAGCTAACAAATTTTGAAGCGAGTTTTCAGACCTAAACAGTTGATTTCCAGATATTTTGCTTTACCCACCACATATTACTGCCTCTCACCAACTGATAAATGATAAATATATTAAATATAGAAACATAGATTAAACTGACAATTTGTTACTTACTAGCTTTATGACCTTGAACAGATTTCTCAATCTCGGACTACATCCTCTTTTCAAAAATGGGGGATTAAAGATCCTTCTTATAGATATTATGAGCTCAAATTAAACGTGGATTTGAAAGCACACAGATAGGAGTAGTGGTGGAGCCAGAATTGGAACCCAGGTTCTAAAGCACTAAACCATTCAACTTCTGGAAGTATAAGCTTTGAAATCAACCACACTTAGATTCAGATCCCACCTTTGCTACTTAATTGTTGTATAAAGTTAGGAAAGTTACAGTTTGTTATCTATCAAATGGATAATAAAGTGTTTCTGGAACAATGTTAGTGAGAAATATTATGTATGTAAAGTGCCTACTGGGATTCCTGGTACATAGTAGGTGGTCAGTAAACTGGGGGCTAGTCTTATAGTTGAGAAGCTTCATTAGATGATACATGAAAGTAAGATTAAGAACAAGGTATTCTTAATACATGATATAAATATTCTTTCCGTTCAACTATTTAATAATTTACTACCATGCAAATGCATTGGTGTAGTTAGCTCACTGTCAGAGCTTTCTTGCTTTAATTACATGGGACTTTGGCTGATATCTTTTCCCCGAGTCCTTTCTCAATTGTTTGTTTTCTTATCATGGTTTTCTCATGTCACTCACTTACGTAAAATAAAAACTTTATGATGGTGTTCTGTATGACTTAGCATTGAAACCTTGCTTTACACGGTCTCTAGGATCTTTGCTTAAGGAATTACTTACAATGCTGCCCTTTTGATGCTTTAAACTGAAGTGATAGGACCCAAGATACTAAGTTTAGAAACACTGAAAAATAAAGACTATATTAAGTTTTTGTGCTTTTCATAATTTTATTGGGTATTATCTAGAAATTAGCTCAGAAGGACAGAATTTTAAATTTAAATGTAATTTCATGGTTTATACTTATTTCTCTGTTACTTAATGAGGATAATATAGGATTGATACTCCTGATTCTTATTTATTTATTTATTATTTTCTTTTTATTTTTATTTTAAGTAGGCTCCGTGCCCAGTGTGGGGCTTGAACTCACAACCGTGAGATCAGGGGTCACATGCTCTACCAACTGAGCCAGCCAGGTGCCCCTTCCCCTCTTTTTAAGAAACATGTGTGTATATAAATTTGTGTATTCATAGGAAAAAAAGGATCGGAAAAAGCTATACCTAAATTTTGAGTGCTTATTTTCTTGATAGTAAAGTTACAAGGATTTTTCTTTTTCTTTTTTTTTCCTTTTTAAAAATATTTTTAAGCTCTCTTAAAATTAACATACATAGTTTGAAAAGCCCCATCATTTAATGTTAAACGGCTTCTTTTAAAATTTCTGCTAAGTTTGCTTTTCATTGTGCTTTGATTTAAAAAAATTTTTTAAAGGTTTCCTTCAAGCAGGATGGTACCTTTCTACTTTCCTCCATCAAAATGTGCACTTTGGAACCCAGTCCCAATTGGAGATTTCATCTACTTACATCTCAATTACTACAGGTATAAGATGTTTTTCTTTTCAAATCAAACCAGTATAAACAGGAGTCAAAAGGATGTGTGAGGCAAAGTTTTTTACTATGACTAATTTTTTTTTTTTTTTAACTTTTCCATTCAGAAATTCCCCTCAAACTATCCGTTTTGCTGCTTCTTAAATCTATTTCTTGTGCTTTTGAGAAGTAATCTTAATTTCACAGTTAAAATGTTCTGCAAATCTGAAGTTCTAAGTATTATAGGAGTTCAAGAGACAAGATATAATAAAAACTGAAAGCGTTTTTCATCGTGCTTTAGCATGCTGTCTTTGTAAAACATTGAGAAGATTGAACTTATTTTGAGTGGATAGATGATGTTAGAAGGAATATAAAATATGGTTATGGGCAGGATCTTGAAAGACATAAAAACTTAGGCTTAAAGAAATAGAAAATAGAGACTCACTGTGATTTGTGTATAAGGGAGTTATTTGTTGAACGCAGAATTCTAAGAAGGATGGGTCATAGTGGGGAGAACCTGGAGTTAGCTTAGCTGTGAGGTGGTTTTCTGTAATCAAAGCAACATCAGTTTATGCCCTAGTGGTTTGTTTAAGGTGCTATAACTGGAGTCAGACTGCCTGGAGGGTCAAATCCTGATTCTACCACTTCTTATTTATGAAACCTCAGTAAAGTAGGCAAGGATCAGTTTCTTTATTTAGAAAATGGGAATAATGATACCTGTTTCATAGCACTAATGAGACCGGCTCTGTAAAGCAGCAGTTGGCATGGTGCCTGGAACATAGGAAGTAGTCAATAAATGGTTGCTCTTATAAGGGCTTAGAGCAATGTAGCAGTATTAAGATCAAAAGGAAAGAATGAAACAAGGTATTTTGAAGAAATAGCATATAGAGTTTGATGATAGATTCGGTCCGACTAAAGGAGAGATACAAGTCAAAAAGTATTTTAAGTTCTAAACCAGTTGGCGGAGAAGGATAGTATTGACAAAAAACAGTCTTGTGGGGGTGCCTGGGTGGCTCAGTTGGTTATGCGTCTGCCTTCAGCTCTGGTCATGATCTCAGGGTCCTGGGATGGAGCCACGCATTGGGCTTCTTCCTGCCCAGCAGGGAGTCTCCTCCCTCTCTCTGCTCATACTCTCTCTCTGTCTCTCTCAAATAAATACAATCTTTAAAAAAAATAGTCTTGTGGAAGTTCAACTAATATTTCTTAGACTTGTTCATTCTTTTCTCGATGTCTCTTGACCTTTTATATTTTCTATTATCTTTCTGTGCTACAGTGTGAGTAATTTTTTCTTCAACTCTACTAATTTTCTCTTTAGGTGTACTTAGTTGCCATCTAACCTGTATGTTTAGGTTTTTTAAATGTGGAAGCATTCCATATATATGAAAGATTGTTTATAATATATATGCAGAATTTATAGGGTAATAAAAATTCATGTACCTATCCCCGGTTCATTATATTGAGTTTTGAATTGATTATTTATTTATTTATTTATAGATTTTATTTGTCAGAGAGAGAGAGAGAGAGCACAAGCAGGGGGAGCAGTAGAGGGAGAGGGAGAAGCAGGCTCCCCACTGAGCAAGGAGCCCGATGCGGGACTCGATTCCAGGACCCCGGGATCATGACCTGAGCCGAAGGCAGACGCCCAATGACTGAGCCACCCAGGCGTCCCTGAATTGATTATATTTTTATTTCTGCAAGTTCTTTGCAGTTCTTTTTCAAATCTGCCTCATCTTTTTTTGATAGTATCTACTTCCTTGCTCATATTTTGGAGTCCCTTTTATGTATCTTTACACATTTTAATCATAGTTTTATATATTCTACATTCAATAATACTAGTATCTGAAGTCCATAGACCATCTGTAAACAAAGAGATGTGGTATTTCAATCAGTTCTTATTTATAGAAACAGGAGGCTGACCTCATAGTTTCTTGAACTTTGCTCTGGTTCATAAAGTTAAGCAAATGCTCAGAGAACAACTATAAAGTCAGTGTCTACTTACTGCAGTTCTGGTTTCCAGGCAGCTCTCCCTACCCACCACCACCGCCTGCCCATCTTTGACCCTAGGATTTCTCAACAGTGATTTTTCTGTACATATTGAAAGATGTGTGTTATATTTTAGGCAGCATTTCATGGCAGGAGGGTCTTTTAGGATATCAGATCCACCATATTCATAAAAGACTTATTTTTCAGAAATCCAAAGCTTGTGGTAACTGAAAGGACCATCCGACTTGCTTGTCGTCATGCTAAGCAGAATAAAAAAAACCTGCCATGCTTTTTACTTGGTTCTCTCGTAGTAGATGAAGGTAATATACTTTAAAAAAATAATTTTATAACTATAATAGAATTTGTGTTTTGAATTCAGCCAATTATTGTAATGTTCTTTGTGTTAATGTTCTTTGCAATATACCAAGGTTATAAAGGTAAATAAAACTTGACACTACCCATCACAGACTTCACAGGTCAGGTGGAAGAATATATATGCAAGCCATTTTTTAAAATAAGAGCTTAGTGTACTATTAATATGAAAAAATGCTTTGTTATAATTGTAGGCTTCCTTGGTTGATTTCAAATTTTTATTGTCATGTTATATAATAACTGCTATTTTTGTTCCTCAGATGAAGAAAGTATGACATTGACAATAGATCGTTTTGATCCTGGTAGAGAAGTGCCTGAATGCTTAGAAAGAACCCCTACTGCTTTTCTTCCTGGGGACTTTGTGATTCCATGCAAAATTCATACTCATGGACTTTGTTCAAAAGAAATAATAGTTCATGATGCAGATGACTTCAGTTCAGCTTTTAAGGTGAGATTTATTGATAAGTTGATTATTCTTAATTGAACACAAGTATCAAATTATGTGTACTATGTTGTATTTCAATAAACCCATATTTAACAAGTATTCATAATAATTTCTGATTGAATGATTGTTGCTAAAATACAGTTAAATGTGGTTTCTGAAGGCAGAAATTCTAGAGCGGTAATATGGGTAGCATACCAGAAGGGGAGGCAGTATGACCAAGATACCCAAGTACAAGATGTGCTCAGGGTGATATTAAGGGTATAGATTTTTGCTGCATTTGTGGGCAATCAGATTGGACTATTGGTTTGGCCATATTGTAGAGAGCCTTGTCTGCTAGGCTAAGGAATTTGAACTTTGTCATATGGGCTACGTAGAGTCCCTGAAAGTTTCTGAAAAGAGGAAATACTATTAAATCAAGGATAGTTAATCGGATAGGGCAGCCTGACTGAAGTCAGAGAGAGTAGGTAGGCCAAGTCTGTAGTCAGGTGTGTATTAGAGAAGGTGTATTAGCCTGGAGTATGGAGTAGAGTGGTGGCAGAATGTCTAGGAAGGATGCAGTGGGCCTGAGCAACTATGCAGGAGGAACCGATTTGACAATTTGTAGCAATAAGAAAATAAAGAAGAATGCACTTTAGATTTTCTTATTTGAGTTGGAGTTTACATCTGTTTTTTTCGTGTGATAAATGTTTATTAGAAGTGACATTCTCTAGTAAGAATTTGAAATGCTGCTGGGACATCTAAGTTGGCAATATGTAGTGGAGCTTGGTACAATAAATCTCACTTGCTTTGACATAATTATTCATGTAACTTTTTGGTCACATGGAAAAAAATGAGAGAATTGAAATGTTACAAATCAGAAATTGTTTGTTAGATCAAGGTGTATATATGTATACATGTACCAGTATGAAGTAAAACGTTTAGAGATACAAATTTCAAGGTTTTAAAATAATTGTATAATATTGATTCCCCAGGCTCTGCAGCATCATGTATGTAGCAAAGATTTCTTGGACTCTGGTAAACTGCTTTCCCTAAGAGCTCATATCACTTCCAGGGAAAGTTTGGACATTGTGGATTTGGATTTGCATTGGGCAGCAGTAACTCTGGCAAATACCTTTAAGTGCAGACCTATGAAGCCCATCCCCATTATTCCAACAGCTCTGGCAAGAAACTTGACTAGTAATTTGAGTATTTCTCAAGTTCAAGGTACCTATAAATATGGGTAAGTAAGAGATAAATTAATTTTAAATATTGGTCACATTAGTATATTTTCATGGTATCCACATCATATGAAATATTTGTGCATTCAGTTTATATGCCAGAGATCTGTGGTGGCTAGATAAATAACCAAGGAAGGTAAAAAATGAAGTTGTTAAATTTTACTGAATATAGTTCAGAGTTGTGCCTATCACCCCAAGAAAAATTAATGGTAAAATTTATATTAAAAATTGGTTGTATTTTGTGATTTGAAATTAGGAGACATTATCCTCTATGTCATTTTGCACTTTGTATTTTGCCTAGGTTTGGGTCGTTGTCTTTTTTTTTTTTTTTTGAAGATTTTATTTATTTATTTGAGAGAGAGAGAATGAGAGATAGAGAGCACGAGAGGGGAGAGGGTCAGAGGGAGAAGCAGACTCCCCGCTGAGCAGGGAGCCCGATGCGGGACTCGATCCCGGGACTCCAGGACCATGACCTGAGCCGAAGGCAGTCGCTTAACCAACTGAGCCACCCAGGCGCCCCTGGGTCGTTGTCTTTTTGTCTCTTTTTTTTTTAGACTATAATCTGACTCTGAGCCTAACAGAGGCTGAAAAATTTTTTTATTACTTGCAGTTTTAATTGTGAATAATGAGCATTGCAGAGAGAGAAAGGAGATAGCTAAATAAAAATTTGTAGTACTCTTGCTTACCAAATTGTCAACCACTTGAGGGTGGAGTTTCCCCACATAGCTGGAGCAGCATCCTCTCCAGCTTTCTATCACCACTCTTAGTTTCTTAGGAAATGTAAGCCAAATTGCATGTTTTCTGACCCTCAGCAGGGCTACTTCCCTGATTCCTCATCCACTTTCTTTATCTATTGTCTACTGAGCTAGGTTAGACAACGTAAGCACCCTCTGCTTTAAAGTCTAAGCAATTCACTTCTGGCTTCCTTTCCCACTGACTCCACCCTAGTTCCTGTTAGGTCTCTAGAGCTGAAAATGTTTGCCAAGATACACTCAACTGCAAATCCAGTCCTCTAAAAATGCCTCTTCAAAAGAGGAAAAGAAAAAGAGAGGGTTTTCTTTTCAGAGGGTCCCTGGAATAGCGAGAAAAGTCCTATTTTTGAGTCCCACATGCTGACCAGAGCAACTTTCTGGTTGGAGTGGTACAAAGGAAAAAGTGTGTATGTTCCAATATCATGGTATGGTCTGTGGTGATCAAGTGTTTGGATTAAGTGAAACATTTAGTTCCCTAGGAGTAGAGATTCTCAGTTGGTACATGGGAATTTTTGTTAAAATTAACCAAAAAATTAGTTTTTCTTAGTACCCATGCCCATCTACTGGTGAAGCATGAATTTTCCTTCTATGACCCCTTGGCATGCTAGCAGTAACCTAGGATGTTCGGTATTCTATCTAATTACCTATCTTCCTTGCCCCTTCTTACCTAGAATTATTTAATTTGTGACATTTGTCCTTTTCCTTGACCACATTCATTTATTTACCCTGATATTTTTTAGGATCCATTTTAGAATAGGTATTGTGTTAGACACTGGAATTAAATAGATAAAAACCATATTTATTGTCCATTAAATATATTAATGTGTAAACATGATGCAGATAAATATAATGGGAGTTTTTATACAGTGCAGAGAAAGCAGGAAGGTGTGTCCATATTGCCTGGGAAAATCATTGAAAGCCTTTTAGTTCTTTTAAAGAATAGGAATTTATCAGATGGTCAAGGCAGAAGAGCTTTTAGAGCAGGTGTTGTCATTTTTTTTAAGTTGTTTTCTTTTCTTTTCCTTAATCTTAAGTAATCTCCACACCCAACGTGGGACTCTAACTCAACCTTGAGATCAAGAGTTGAGTGCTCTTCCGACTGAGCCAGGCAGGTGCCCCAAATGTCATTTTTTTTTCCTAAGTTTTTTTTTTTTAAGATTTTATTTATTTATTTGAGATAGTGAGTGAGAGTGAGACCACGAGCCAGGAGACAGAGGGAGAAGGAGAAGCAGGCTCCCCACCGAGCAGGGAGCCCGACGTGGGACTTGATCCCAGGACCCCGGGATCATGACCCGAGCTGAAAGCAGACGCTTACTCACGCCCCCCCGTTAAGATACTATTTTTAAGCAATCTCTATACCCAACATGGGCTTGAACCCACAACCCTAAGATCAAGAGTTGCATGCTGTATCAGCTGAGCCAGCCAGGCGGCCCTAGGTATTTTTGATCCATAAATCTCCCTGCCAACTCAGGCTTAATCATCTTGTCACATGGCCTGATAAATTCATTATCTTTGTGTTTTAGGGTTATCATAGCAATAAAATATATCCTCATTGGTACTATTAAGACCTTATATCACTAATAGCATCATTTTTATTTTTGTGTTTTAAAGCCATAATGATGAAATTAACTTTTTTTTTTTTTTTTTTGAGAGAGTGAGTGAGAGCGCAGGGGTTGGGGGGAGTGGGAGTGTGAGGAGCGGCGGGCGGTGGGGGAGAGAATCTCAAACAGGCTCCACACCCAGTGCGGAGCCTGATGTGGGGCTTAGTCTCACAGCCCTGAGATCATGACCTAAGCTGATATCAAGAGTCCAACACTTAACTCACTGAGCCATCCAGGCACCCCAACTCTTGACAATTCTATAGTTATTCATATTCTTAAAACTTACTGTCAATAATAGGGGCATCTGGCTGGCTCAGTCGATGGAGCATGTGACTCTTGATATTGGGGTCTTGAGTTCAAGCCCCACACTAGATGTAGAGATTACTTAAAAAAATAAGCTTAAAAAAAACTTACTCTTAATAATACATGTAATAACAAAGTTTAAATGTGATATAATGTCCTTTTAGGAAAAGGTGAATTTTGGGGCCTATCATAATGGTTCCAATGTTCTTTGATAGTGGTTGGAAGAATATAGTGCACGGAAGATTGAATATACCTCACATAATTCAGCTTTGTTAGTGAGAAGTCACATCTGTTGCAGTCTTGTCAAGTCACCTGGATGCTTGAACACTTCTAGTAACGGGAAGTTCACTTCTCTCTGGGAAACCTATTTGAATCTGAAATAGCCTTGATTTTAATATTCCTGATTAAAATAAGTGGACACTTTTAGAGCAAAACTTTTTAAAAAAGTTTGTGATCGGGTGCCTGGGTGGCTCAGTCGGTTAAGCGACTGCCTTCAGCTCGGGTCATGATCCTGGAGTCCCGGGATCGAGTCCCACATCGGGCTCCCTGCTCTGCAGGGAGTCTGCTTCTCCCTCTGACCCTCTTCCCTCTCCTGCTCTCTATCTCTCATTCTCTCTCTCTCAAATAAATAAATAAAAAATCTTAAAAAAAAAAATTAAAAAAAAAATAAAAATAAAAAAGGTTTGTGATCTTCAATGACCATTTTAATAGAAATTTTAAGATATTAAATCTCTTCAATCTCTTAGTGGATTCTTTTTTTTACATTTTGAGCTATTTTCTTTGTGTGTATGAGAGAAAACATTCATTTGAATCATCTTCCCTGCCTAAAATATGCTTCTTCAAGCATTCAGATTATCTCTTTTAGGTAAAAAGTACATACTCTTAATTGTTTTTTACATGAATGTCTTCTGTTTAGATATCTTACCATGGATGAAACACGCAAATTGTTACTTTTGCTGGAATCGGATCCCAAGGTTTGTTCTCTACCATTAGTGGGAATGTAAGTATTATATTATATATGAAAACCTTTTCGGCCACATAAGTATTCAAATGTATGTAATAAGCATGTTAATTAGTTGTACTATGAATATATACTTAATACCTAGATCACCTTATAAAGCCACAAAAGCCAGTGATTCTTAAGCTTTCTTATTTTCTTTTTTTTTTTTAAGATTTTATTTATTTATTTGACAGAGAGAGAGACACAGTGAGAGAGGGAATACAAGCAGGGGGAGTGGGAGAGGGAGAAGCAGTCTTCCCGCCGAGCAGGGTGGCCAATGCGTGGCTTGATCCCAGGACCCTGGGACCATGACCTGAGCTGAAGGCAGATGCTTGACGACTGAGCCACCCAGGCGCCCTTAAGCTTTCTTATTTTCATAGCAGAATCAGGTAAAACCAGATTTTGCCCAATCTTAGGAAGAACTCCAATAAATAAAACATACAAAGTTGAATTCTTCTGGTTAAAGTTGAATCCTTAGAGCCCTGTTTCTTTAACCTTCATCATTACCCCCTATCCTTAAAGCATCTTGAAGAACACAGGGCTTAGAATAACACTTTAAAATACATTGCCAGGCAGTTTTGCAGAAATTCCCTTTGGTGTTAAGGGCTTTCTCTTTAGAGTTCGTGGTTAATAACATTTAGACAGATTATTCAGTCAGAAATTTATGTTCTTTGAGTATTTATTGAGTGCTTACCCTATGTATAGTACTGTATTTGGTATGGTTAGGATCTAAAGCTCTCCAAGGAATTTATAATCAAGGTGAGGCAATAAAATATATGTGTATTCACAAATAGAAAAATAATAAGTATGTGATTTATTATGAAATGAGCAATATAGACAGTGAGCGTTATTAGTATTCATGAGAGGGATAATAGGGGACATTTCCTTAAAGAAGGCAAACTTGAGCTAGACCTTGAAGAGACTGGATAATAGAAGGGAGGGGACTGGTGGTATGTGCAGTTAAACAATGCACAAATGTTCAGCCGACCACAAAATCTTAGTCTGTTTCCTATGGTCCTAGTATTGGCTCTCGGTTATACCAGGTGAATTCCTATTAAGAGCCTTGGGTGTTTTGGGCTACTCTCTCTATAACTATAGTTTTAGGCTATGTTAGCATTCTCCCCTAATTTAGCCCATTCTTCCTAGTCCAGGCTAGTTGATTCTAATTGATTCCTGCTTTCATCTCTATGGTTAACCATTTTGTCTCCCACCATTTTCTTGTCCTCTCAAGTGGAAGAGGACAAAAAATATGTCTATATTCCTTTTAATTATTAGCATGGTCTAGTGTTCATAGATTTCTTATTTATGAGCTGTTCAGTGTATTGCTGGTGAACACCAAGAATCTCTGCTATATTCCCTTGAGAAGAATGTAATCTAAAGCAATTAAGTATTAATTTGTAAGTGACTATAGCTTTTAATTTGTATTTTTTCTTTTAGTTGGCTATCTGGGATTATACATATCTATAGTCCTCAGGTATGGGCTTGCTGCTTACGATACATGTTCAGTTCTTCTATTCAAGAAAGGCAAGTGATAATTTTGTATTTTATTTTGATCTTCTCCCTGTTCATGTTTTATTGGTCTTGTTTAAAATTCATGCAGTGCCTTAAACTTTTATAAAGTTTACATACCAGCAGAATAAGCACACTTCTAAGAAAAACAAATCTTACATTAAGTGGGAATAAAACCAGATAAAAAAGGTGAGTTGCAGTATACTTGGAAATGTGAAGGAATTCACTTGTCTAACCATAGTACTATAACACAGAAGATACACTTTTTAGGTATTGGGGGGGAAAAACCTGGAGATCATCTACTGTAGCATCCTATTTAATAAATAAAGGGATTAATTTTCAGTGAAGTGATTGAAAATGAGTTTGAATTTGTTGCCTTATGTGTGTTTTATTAAGTTACACAGTGCTAATACTAGTAGTGTAAGGAATATTTGAGATGAGATATTTAATTTTCTTTCTGGAACTGAAACACAAGCATTGGAACTAGCAAAGAAACTTTATAACCTCAACTCATTTAATTTTGTTATTTTGTGTCTGATACCACCATTTGCCTCTTAGCTTTTTCATCTGTTAAAATTTCCAGGTCTGTTTGTATCAACCTTGGGTAGCTTTAATACACGTTTTTTTTAAAGATTTTATTTATTTATTTGACACAGAAAGAGAGCGTGTGCGCATCAGCCGGGGTAGAGGCAGATAGAGGGAGAGGGAGAAGCAGACTCCCCGCCAAGCAGGGAGCCCAATGTGGGGCTCAATCCCAGGACTGTGGGATCATGACCTAAGCCAAAGGCAGACGCCCAACTGACTGAGCCACCCAGGTGCCCCTGTAATACACTTTTTTAAAAAACTTGGTTGAAAAGGCAGTACAAGTCCATGGCAATAAAGCAAACATATGTAAAGATACACAATAAAAGAATAAGTTTCTCCTCTATCCCATATCCCCAGACCCTATCCCCAGAGACAATCACTATTAAATGTTAAATAGTATCTTGTGCTTCTTTTCTAAAATACCACTGCGTAGACATCCTCTACATCCTGTGTATCATCCTCTCCTATCACAGATAGGAGCATACTGTTCTTTTCTGCATGTTGCTTTTTTTCTTTGTATCATTATACCTTAGAGGTCATTATATCTTGGCACATACAAATTTTGTCACATATATGACAGTTGAATAGAAAGTAATATGTATTGGGACGCCTGGGTGGCTCCGTTGGTTAAGCATCTGCCTTTGGCTCAGGTCATGATCCCAGGGTCCTGGGGATTGAGTCCTGCATAGAGCTCCCTTCTCAGTGGAGAGCCTGCTTCTCCCTCTACCTGCCACTCCCCCAGCTTGTGCTTTCTTTCTCTGTCTGACAAATAAATAAAATCTTAAAAAAAAAAAAAAATATGTATTATATTTTAAAAACTAGTCCTTTTGCCTTTGCAGACAATTTTGTGTATACATCTTTGTATACACACACATATGTACATATACTAGTATATTTGTAGAATAAATTCCTAAAAGTGGCTTTTCTAGGACAAAGAGTATGTAATTAAACATTTTTTTCTTTTGTAATTTTAAATTTTTGTAGATATTGCCCTTCAAAGACTGTCAGTTTATAATCATTCCAACATTGTTTGAGAATGCCTATTTCCTCCATCCCCTCACTAACACTGTGGAACAAAATATTTATTGAGCACCTACTGTGTACCAAGCACTCTGTATGATACTGAGGATAAGCAGTAAACAAAGACCCTGCAGACATAGGCAGTAAACAGAATAAGTAAAATAAGTAGTATTTTATAAGGTGATGAGTGCTGTGGAGAAAAATAAGCAAGGGAGGTAGATATTGTGTGTCTGGATGGTAGTGATAGGTGAAGAGATGAAATTTTATTTTTTTTTAAGATTTTTATTTATTTTTATTTTTTAAGACTTTATTTATTTATTTGACAGAGAGAGACACAGAGAGAGAGGGAACACAAGCAGGAGGAGTGGGAGAGGGAGAAGCAGGCTTCCCACCAAGCGGGGATCCCGATGCGGGGCTCGATCCTAGGACTCTGGAATCATGACCTTAGCCTAAGGCAGATGCTTAACGACTGAGCCACCCAGGCGCCCCCTTTTTAAGATTTTTTAAAAATTTTAAAGTAATCTCTACACCCAATGTGGGGCTAAAACACAACCCCAAGATCAACAGTCGCATGCTCTACTGAAAAGAGTTGAAATTTTAAATAGGGTGGTCAGGGAGGCAAAGTCTTGAGGTGAGAAAGTAAGCCATGTGGCCATCTGGGGCAAGCATCCCAGACAGAGGATACATGAAGTGCAAAGACTGTGGGTCAAAGGTCACTTTGCATCTTCAGGAGACAGAAAGGAGGCCAGTATGCCTGAGAGGAAGGAGGGAAGGGGAAAGTAGCAAACTTCAGAGAGGTAACTTTTGATCTTTACAAATCTGATGGATGAAAAATGGTCTCTTGTGATGTTTTATAACCTCTTCTGGGATCTTTGCATTCATGTCTCTGGCCATTCTATTGGATTATGCATCTTTTTCACGAGCTCTATTTCTCTTTCTCACTCACTCCCTCTATATATATAATATGTAAAACACAGAAATGTACATTTATAAAAATGTGTGTGTGTGTATGGCAAAGGTTATATAAATATAAAAATATGTGTGTGTGTGTAGATGGCAAAGATTTTTTTCCCCCCAGATTGCCATTTCATTTAACTTTGGTTAATGATATTTTTCCCAGACTTAACTTTTTAAGTCAAATTTGTCGATCTTCTTTTTCAATCTTAGAAAGGAATTGCCCACTCTAGGAGTATTTATTGAAATAAAAAATCTGTTGTGTTTTCTTCAGGTGCTTTTTGCAGTTCCACTTTTTACATTTTGTTTCAACTTTTCAATCTAATTAGTTTTATTCGCAATAAAACAAATACTCATTTTAGTATATTAGTACAACTAAATTTTATTATCAGTGACTGGTCTTACTTTTAACTACCTTTTGACAGTAAATGGTAGGTAAAATTAGTTTTGAAGTTCTCTCTGTTAGTCTGTGTTTAGTCTGAAGCATTAGGCAATTTCTTTGATACCTGAACTCTTTAATTACGGCCGTATGAACCAGAGAGAATTAGCACTGCTTAGCATAGCTTGGGTTGATACTTTACAACATTCCGAACAGTGGTTTTGTCTGACCCGAGAGAGGAATTGAGCAGAATAGACATTCTGCCTCCACAGCACACACTGCTTTGTTTTATTAATGTTGTAAGGTAGCCCCAAATTATTTTTCGTTCAGTGTTTTACAAAGGAGAGACAACTACTAAAAGTATTTTTATTTATTTAAAGATTTTACTTGTTTATTAGAGAGTACATGCAATTGCGTGTTTTGGGGGAGGAGCAGAGGGAGAGGGAGAATCTCAAGCAGGCTCTGTGCTGGGCCCTGAGCCCAAAACAGGGCTCCATCTCACAACCCCAAGATCACAACTAAACCAAAATCAAAAGTTGGATGCTCAACCGACTGAGCCCCCCAGGTGCTCCTTTATTTCAAAAAATTTTGGGGCGCCTGGGTGGCTCAGTTGGTTAAGCGACTGCCTTCGGCTCAGGTCATGATCCTGGAGTCCCGGGATCGAGTCCCACATTGGGCTCCCTGCTCAGCGGGGAGTCTGCTTCTCCCTCTGACCCTCTTCCCTATCGTGCTCTCATCTCTCATTCTCTCTCAAATAAATAAATAAATAAAATCTTTAAAAAAAATAAAAAATAAAAAAATTTTGTTTTTCTTAAAGTATTTTTAAATACAGGTTCCCTGCCTCCCCCCCGACCCCATCTGAAAGAGCAGAGCGCTCCTATGAAACCTTTCAGAAGCTGAAATGACATAAAGCAAAGAAGCAACTACCATTAATTTATATGGAAAAATTTTTGAGTGTTCCCAAACTGAGAAAATGACCTCTTAGGCTTTTCTGATACCTTAGAACGTGTCTTGCTAATGCATGCACGAAATAAATTGAGATAAAACACAATACTCACAGACACAGTTCAAAGCTATGGCTGCTTGATGCTGAGATGCTGAATGTAGTTCCCGAGGAAGGAGCCTGGCAGGGCTACTCTCGCTTTTGTTGCATGCTACCTCAGTAATGGCTCATGCAACACAAATGCTGAACATTATTTTCAGTTTTGCCTTTTTTTGTAAAAGCAAAAATCCTCTTTGGATTTCTTTCAGTTAGTGAAAACAGGTTCTAACATAGGGCTTCTGTAAAAGTGAGGTGGCCTAATGTGAACTTTTGAAAAGGGGATATCTGTTGTTGGTTTTAGTATGTGTTTTAAGGATTCTTGATGACTTTACAAATATTTGTGGAGCCACTCACTGAATAATAAAATGAATGTTTTTATCCATGCTTATGATATTGAGATATTGTATATAATTAAAATACCCCCTTTTAGAAATCTAGATGAATAATGGCACATCTGTAAATTGTAATACTGGGTAGTCACTAAAAAAGAATAAAGAGGTCTGAGGTATAATATAGAATAGTGACATGGGAAGAAATCCAAGACAGTCAAATAAAAAATAGCAATTACTCATACAGTTGACCTTTGAACAATGCAGATGGTGAGCTGCTCAGTCAGAAATAATAGGGGCGCCTGGCTGGCTCAGTCGGGAGAGCATGTGACTCTTGATCTCTGGGTCATGAGTTCAAGCCCCACGTTCGGCATAGCATTTACTTAAAAAAACCATGAGAGGGATGCCTGGGTGGCTCAGTTGTTAAGCGTCTGCCTTCAGCTCAGGTCATGATCCCAGGGTCCTGGGATCGAGCCCCGCATCGGGCTCCCTGCTCTGCGGGAAGCCTGCTTCTCCCTCTCCCACTCCTCCTGCTTCTCCCTCTCCCACTCCTCCTGCTTGTGTTCCCTCTCTCTCTGTGTCTCTCTCTGTCAAATAAATTAAAACAAACAAAAAACAAAACCATGAGTGACTCGACTCCGAGAAACAAACTGAGGGTTTTTGAGGGGAGAGGGGAGGGGGGGATGGGTTAACCTGGTGATGGGTATTAAGGAGGGCATGTATTGCATGGAGCACTGGGTGTTATATGCAAACATTGAATCATGGAACACTACATCAAAAACTAGTGATATACTAGTGATATAAACTAGTGAAAACTGTGGTGACTAACATAATAAAATTAAAACAAAAACAAAAAAAACCTACTGCATATAACTTGATTCCCCAAAAACTTACACTAATAGTGTACTGTTGACCAGAATCCTTATAGATAACCTGGTTAGTTAACATGTTTTGTATGTTATATGTATTATATACTTTAAATATTCTCACAATATTACAGTTATTCCTCAATAAAGCAAGCTGCAGAAAAAAAAGTTATTAAAATCATAAAGAAGAGGGGCGCCTGAGTGGCTCAGTTGTTAAGCGTCTGCCTTCAGCTCAGGTCATGGTCCCAGCGTCCTGGATGGAGCCCTGTATTGGGCTCCCTGCTTGGCGGGAGGCCTGCTTCTCCCTCTCCCCCTGATTGTGTTCCCTCTCTAGCTATCTCTCTCTCTGTTAAATAAATAAATAAAACCTTAAAAAAATAAAAAAAATTTCATAAAGAAGAATAAATATGCTTATAGTACTGTGCTGTATTTATTGACAAAAATTCATGTGTAAGTGGACCTGCACACTTCAAACCCATGTTCAAGGATCTACTGTACTATGTATGGTATGGCCTCATTTTTGTTAGATTCTATAAAATGTTTTTGTATGCCAAGGAGAAAATTAGGGAGTTACATATACTAAACCAGAGAGTGGGGTGGTGTTCATTTTGTTTTATATATCCCTGTTTTGCTTGAAGTTTTTATAAGGAATATGTATTTCATAATAAAATGTATTTTAAAAATTAAAAATCAGTAACAGTAAAAAGTAAGCACATTTGCTCAGTAGTTTTTATTTTTTTAAGATTTTATTTATTTTTTTGAGAGAGAGAGAGACAGAGTGCATTGGGTGGGGGAGCAGAGGGAGAAGGAGAGGGACAAGCAACTCCCCACCAAGCACGGAGCTTGATGCAGGCAGGCCTGATCCCAACACCTGAGATCACAACCTGAGCCACCCAGGCATCCTGCTCCCCAGTTTGATTCCCCAAATTAGACTGCTTAGGTAGTTTATTAACTAGATTGAGAGATTTATGTAGAGTTGTTAGAATATACTCTTAACTATTCTCAGTAAATTTTAATTAAATGGCATTTTTTGTTCAGGGTTTTTTCAGAATCTGGAAATTTCATTATAGTTCTCTATTCTGTGACACATAAGGATCCTGAATTTTATGAATGCCTCCCCTGTGATGGCAGATCATCTGACCTTCAGTTCCAGCTACTAACCAGCAAGGAAACATTACATCTTTTCAAAGTAAGTGATTTGATTACCTAGCACATTAATGACTATTTAGGGTTGCATGTTGGCAGTTTAAACCCAATGGTCTTTACCCTTTAAAGTAGTAACTCAAACTATGAGGTTTTGTTTCTAATTATTATTGAATATTAACTTTATTCATTTGTGGTTAATGTTGTTTTATAAATTTTAGATCATGTCTCCAGAACAAATAATACAGGATCAGAGCTTTTCCCCAGAATAACTTACCCATGTTGTTCTGAAGCCTTTGAAGAATATTAAGAATTTATATGTTTATGTCATTTTATGATATTGAGAGTTTAATTTGTGAACTTAGCATTTTGTTTGCCCTGTTATTATATATTTATTTATTTATTTTAAGATTTTATTTATTTGACAGAGAGACACAGCGAGAGAGGGAACATAAGCAGTGGGAGTGGGAGAGGGAGAAGCAGGCTTCCCGCAGAGCAGGGAGTGATGCGGGGGCTCAATCCCAGGACCCTGGGATCAGGACCCTAGCCGAAGGCAGAGGCTTAACAACTGAGCCATCCAGGTGCCCCTTAACTTGTGTTTTGATGGAGATTTCCTTGATCACCAGGAGCTAAACAAACAAACAAACATACCTCCTAGAGGGTCTTTGCAGATGGACTTTGTGCTTAGCCAGACTAGAGCCAGACTAGCGCCCCTGCCCTGTTATTTTTTAAATGTGTAGATATAACATGATTTCTCACATTTGAAAGTCAGTGTTTATGTATAATCTTAGGAATCAGAATAGATTATTGCTGTATCTCATAAAACACATAAAAATACATAGGTGATGGTCACAGAAAAAGTAAATATTTGAAACCATAAGTGTCATTATGTAAAAACATTCAGAGACTACTTTTCAGTAAAATGATTGATTGTCCTATGTCTCAGACTAATAATAAAAAATTCTCAAGGTGCCTGGATGGCTCATTTGAAAGAGTGTGAGATTCTTGATCTCGGGGTTGTGAGCTCAAGTCCCACGCTGGTTGTAGAGCTTACTTAAAGAAGTAAAACTTTAAAAAGAAATTCTGTATTTTAATTATAAATATAATTATCTTAATTGAAGTCTAATAATTTATTTCCATTTTAGAGACATATATCAGTTCTTTAGATCACATCCTCAGTTCACAGTTATTATTTTCACTGAATCCCTGATTATTGAGTGAGTTATATAATACAGGTAATTAATTGAGTTTTCACTTTCGTTTATGTGGCGGGGAAACTGACAGTTTAAAAAAGGTTACATAAAAAAAGGTTACATAAAAATAGAACATATGTTTAAGCAATTCCACTTCTGGATATTTATCCAAAGGAAACGAAAACACAGACTTGAAAAGATATGTGTATCCCCATGTTGACTGCAGCACTGTTTACAATAGCCAAGACATAGAAGCAACCTAAGTATCCATTGATAGGTGAATGGATAAAGAAAATGTGGTGTATATATATACGTACAGTGGAATGTTATTCAGTCAAAAAAGAAGAAATCCTGTCATTTGTGACAGCATGGATGGACCTTGAGGGCCTTATGCTAAGAGAAAGAAGTCAGAGAAGGCCAAATACATATGATCTTATGGGTGAAATCTAAAAAAAACCAATCAAACTGAACTCATAGATACAGAAAATAGATTGGTGGATACAGAAAACAGATTGATAGAGGTTTGGGGGTGGGCAGGATGGGTGAAGGGAGTCAAAAGGTACAAACTGTCAGTTATAAAATAAGACATGAGGATGTAATGTATAGCATGGTGACTATAATTAATATCTTTGAGAGTTGCTAAGACAGTAGATCTTAAAAGTTCTCAACACGAGGAAAAATAATTATAACTCTGTATGGTGATGGATGTTAACTAGACTTATTGTGGTGAGCATTTTGCAGTATATACAAATACTGAATCATTATGTTGCACACCTGAAACTAATATAATGTTATATCTCAATTTTAAAAATGATTTTTTTAAAAAGGTATGGTAATAGAAATGTCTCCTTTCTCCCAGTATTTCAGAGCCACTTTTCATCTAAATAAAATTCTCTTGTGTTTTTATTTAAGTCAGCTCTCAAAGTACAACCTACTTTATTTCAGAATGTTGAACCTTCTGACAAGAACTCAATCCATTTTGAACTGACTGCTGAAAGCCAAAATGTAGAAACAGAGTTTTTCAACAAGGTTTCCAAGAATCTTTCAATTAAAAGGTAAAAGGTATTTTTGTTATCATGTATACTTTTTAAATTATATTCACTAGTTTTTGATGAGTAATAAAGTAACTCCCCAATCTGATGAAACTGATTATATATCTTAGCTACCATAAGATGTCCTTGCTTTAAATGCATTACTTCATACTCAGATGTTGGATGATACATATTTTTTTTAAGATCTTATTTGTCAGAGAGAGAGAGCACAAGCAGGGGGAGCAGCAGGCAAAGGGAGAAGCAGACTCCCCGCCGAGCAGGGAGCCCGATAATGGGACTCAATCCCAGGACCCTGGGATCATGCCCTGAGCTGAAGGCAGACTCTTAACTGACTGAGCCACCCAGGCGTCCCATTGGATGATAATTTTAATGAAGTGACAACTTTAATACGGTTGTCATTTGAGTTGCTTTATTACATAGGGGGGAAAGTGTCAAGAAATTATTTGTTTAGGAAGAAGCATCTTGTTTTTGTTTAGTTTGCCTTGTATTTGTTTTTCTCGTCCTTGTAGTTCTAAACCTGGTCCTGTCAGAGAAACTATTATAAAATATAACTTCTCTACCTAAAAAAGAAAATGCACTTGGGGAATATTAATTGAATAGTGGCTGTGGCTTTTTGGGTCTGTATATACCTTTTCTGGTAAAAAAGATATTCCTCTATAGTAGGGTTCTCCAGAGAAACAGAAACAGCAGGATGGAGAGAGAGTGAGGGAGAGAAAGATTTGTTTTATGGAATTGGTTCATGCAATTGTGGGGGCTGAGTTGCAGTTAGAGTCCAAAGGTGGTTTGCAAGCAGAATTCCCTCTTCTTGGGGGTGGTAATGCTTTGTTCTATGAAGGCCTTCAGCTGACTGGATAAGGCCCATCCACATTGTGGAGGATAATTTGCTTTACTCAGAGTCTACTGATTTTGATGTTAATCTCATCTAAAAATACCTTCACAGAGAGGCGCCTGGGTGGCTCAGTCAGTTAAGTGTCCGACTCTTGATTTTGGCTCAGGTCCTGGTCTCAGGGTTGTGAGATTGAGTGCAGCATCAGGCTCCACACTGGGCATGGAGCCTGCTTAAGATTGTCTCTCTCCCTCTGCCCCATTCCCCACCCTCTCCCCCCAACCCCCCAAAAATATCTTCACAGAAACATCTAGAATAATGATTGACCAAATATCTGGTTACCATGGCCTAGCCAAGTTGACACATAAAATTAACCCTTCAGATCCCTATTCCAGCTTTCTCATGTATTCTACTATATGCCAGATAGTGTGCTAAAAGCTGGGGATATGATGGTATTAAAAACAGCTGCAGACATGATTTCTTCCCTCATGGAATTTATAGTCCAGTGATGAAGTGTTGAATGTTCTCCATGTTATTGGGGAGGTCCGCTAATTTAAGTTAGTAATTTGCCAAATATTTAATAACCTCATTTAAATGTTACTTTGGGGTGCTGGTTTATTCTTTGATGCTGTAGGTCTGAAACTATTGTTTTTATAGTAAACTCTGCACCCAACGTGGGGCTCAAATTCAGGACTCTGAGATCAAGAGTTGTATGCTCTACTGACTGAGCCAGCCAGGTGCCCCTAAAACTGTTCTTATTTTAACTTGCTCTAGCAGTTAATTTGTCCTTTTCTCAACTTTTTTTTTTTTTAAGATTTTATTTATTTATTTGACAGAGAGAGTCACACAGAGAGAGGGAACACAAGCAGGGGGAGTGGGAGAGGGAGAAGCAGGGTTCCCGCAGAGCAGAGAGCCCAATGCGGGGCTTGATCCCAGGACCCTGGGATCATGACCTGAGCTGAAGGCAGACGCTTAACGACTGAGCCACCCAGGCGCCCTCTCAACTTTTTGACTATAACCATAACCTGTCTATGGGCCCCTTGAATACTGTCTGTTTAGTATGTTGCATGAGAAACAGGAGGTATAAAGTTCATTGTAAATTATTGCAATTATTGAGAAAATGGCTTGACTTTTTTTTATAGCATTCATTCATCTGTCCTTAACACTTGATTCTATAGGTGGAAATTAACTGTGATACAATTTTAAAATAAATGTCAGCTATACCAACTGTTTATATTCTAGGGCACAACATAATAGTTTTGAGCTCAGTTTATGGTATAAGACATCTGCATTCAAGTCCTGGTTCTAAACATCATTATTCCATCTGTAAAATGGGAATTATGATTGAATCTGTATTAGTTTCTTGTTGTTGCTCTGACAAATTACCGCAAACTTGTTGACTTAGAAACAATACAAATATATTGTCTTCCAGTTTTGGACATCAGAAGTCTGAAGTGGTCTTTGAGGCTAAAATCAAAGTGATGATAGGGCTGCATTCCTTCTGGAAGCTTTAGTGTGGAATCCATTTTATTCCCTTTTCCAGCATCTAGAGGCCATTCCTGTTCTGGTGGCCTCTCTATCTTCAAAGCTAGCTTCTGACTTCTGCTTCTATCCTTACATCTCCTTCTCTGACTCTGACCTTTTTGCCTACATCTTATAAAGGCCCTTGTGATTACATTGAGCCTACCTAGATAATCTAGGATAATCTCCACATCTCAAGATCCTTAACTTAATCACATCTGCACACTCCCTTTTACCAAATGCAGTAAACACAGTCACCGGTTCTGAAGATTAGAAAGATACTAGAGGTATACTGTCTCCATCTTTGGGCATTTTAAGTTATCCTTGCTATAGGTTAGATCACTGGACAACTATATTCTTATAGCTTTTCAGGAACGCCTTCACTGTCTTTTTAAGTCTTTATTCAAGATTTTATGGAAGAAAAAGCCAGATTAAGGAGACACTTATAACTTCTTTTTTTTTTTAAGATTTTATTTATTTTTGACAGAGAGTATACAAGCAGGGGAAGCAGCAGGCAGAGGGAGAAGGAGAAGCAGGCTTCCCGCTGAGCAGGGAGCCTGTTGTGGGGCTTGATCCCAGGACCCTGGGATCATGACCTGAGAGCCAAAGGCAGATGCCCAACCATCTGAGCCACCCAGGCACCCTGATTTCTTTAACGTTATTTTTGAAAACTTTGCCAGTTTTCAAGTCTGATCAAAGATTTAGTAACAGTCACTTTTATTTTAGTAAAATGTTTGTCTCACCTAAAGAACTGATGTTATACTTATACAACATAAAGTTTTTTTCTTTTTGCTTTGGCTACTACAAAAGCTCAGAAATGAATTCTATTGCTCAATGTCAGAAATTTTATGTGTGTGTTTATATATGTTTGTGTTATCATAAGTAAGCATGTAGCAAATATTAATTCCTGGGGCTCCTGTATGGCTCACTTGGTTAAGCGTCTGCCTTTGGCTCAGGTCATGATCCTGGGGTCCTGGGATCAAGTCCCACATTGGGCTCCCTGCTCAGTGGAGAGTCTGCTTCTCCCTCACCCTCTGCTTCTCCCCCTGCTTATGTGCTCTTCCTCTCTCTCTCTCTCTCTCTCTCTCTCTCTCAAATAAATAAATAAATAAAATCTTTTAAAAAAAATTCTTTGCCACAAACTTGGTTTCAAAAAATGGAACTTTTTTTCTTTTTAAAAGTAATTGAACTTAATTTCTAATTTGACTGCCCAGTTGTTATAGAAACCAAATTTCAGTCAATTCAATATCTGTTTATCTTCTTTTCTGTGAAGTTATATGCAGTTTGGAGGAATTAATGCTGTGCCAGTAGTAGCGATGTGGGATGACGTGATTATGATCCAGCCAAGCTGCTATCTGCTCAGGTGTTTTCATTTGCATCTGGTCTTTGGCAGTAGATTTGTGTGGGCCTCTGCTCTGACCTCCTTACTCTAGTCAGGTCACTGGTTCTCTGTCATGTCCATGCTGCACTGAGGCACAGGGGGTATCATAATACTCTCCGTGTCACTTTTGGGTGCTGGGGCTGAGTGCAGACCCTGATGCTTAAACATACCATGCAGACGTTCTGATTGTTTCTTTGCAGCACCATGGCTCAGAAGGAACTCTGTGAGTGTTTGCTTTTCAGACCCATCAGCGTTTAGGATAAAGGTCTCTCGACCTTCCAAATCTACCTGGGGGTTTCTTTTGTGCTCCCTGCCAGGGAGACAGGATGTCGGACCCTTTCTTAGGGATTCCGTCAGTGTCTGCACTCTTTTAGCTTCCTTCTGGCTTTTCTTTTCTCTTCCCTGAACTCATCCTATTGAGACTTTATCTAGGATGCAAAATTTTAGTCTTCCAAATTTTAGTCTTAAACTCTCAGCTTTTGAAACTCCATACCAGCACTCAAAATTTTTCTCTGTTCTATTGGGGCAGTCCCCTGTGACACAATGACTACATCTGATTCAGTAGGAGGAGGTACCTCAGTTAATGTCTCAGTTTCCCATCACAGATATAAGTGTATCAGAGTATGTAGTAGTTCCTTATCAAGTTTCCTTTTTAACACAGTGAGTGTATAATGCAGTGAGTGTACAGCTTTATGACCAGTTTATAATTTTTTTATGGCAAGCACTATGCCTTATTTATAACTACGTTCCTCAAAGTGGTTAATCAGAAGATGCTCAGTAACTGTTGATATTTTGTGACTTTAAAAATAACTGGGTTAAACTTCCCATGATCAGGCAAAGGGAGTAGTTTATTAAGCATGAATCTGACTGGACCAGCTTTTCTAGGCAGCTAACACTGGCCTGAAAAACAAAATAATCTGTGGTTGTCAGATACTAAATTAAATGATCCAGATATTGCTGGGGCTTATTAAAGGACTTTATTCAGTTTCAAAAAGAAAGAAAAGATAAATAGATTACTGAAGACTTTTCTTCACTCCCCTCTATTCTTTAGGTCTTCCCAAAAGTCATCTCCAGGAAAAATGCCAATAAATGATCATGACTCTGGTGTTGAAGATGAAGATTTTTCTCCAAGACCAATTCCTAGTCCTCATCCTGTGAGTCAGAAGGTATCACTAACATTGTAAAGAACCCACCTATGTGGTTAGAAACCTAAAAATCTCTTCATGTTAAAGCATTCAATAATATTACCTGAAACTTATTTAAGTTTTATCAGAGATATATCTAGGTATATATCTATATGGTTATATCTATATATACAGGTACAGGTAACTATTATGTGTTATAGATACAATAATACATATGCATATACGTGTACATGTTGTAATAAGTACATATAATTATTGCTTCCAGAGAAAACTGAGGCACAGATTGGTTAAGTTGCCTGTCCGGTATTACACAACTAGTAAATAGGAAAGCTGGAATTCAGGAGGTTTGGTTTCAGAACTTGGTGTTTTTAACCCATATAGTCTCAACATTCTGTACCATTGATTGTTATCACCAAATCTGAGAAAAATGATACTTGCTTTTGGAGATTGCTAATAACCCCTGTTATAATTTTTTGATTGCAGGCAACCTGTGGCTTATTGTGGAATTGTCATGCCTTAATTGGACCAATTAGTTGTTAGAAGAAAAAGGAATAGGAAAGATTTTTAAAAATTAATATCAAGGGGCGCCTGGGTGGCTCAGTTGTTAAGCATCTGCCTTCGGCTCAGGTCATGATCCCGGGATCCTGGGATCGAGCCCCGCATTGGGCTCCCTGCTCCGCGGGAAGCCTGCTTCTCCCTCTCCCTCTGCCCCTGCTTGTGTTCCCTCTCTCGCTGTCTCTCTCTGTCAAATAAATAAATAAATAAAATCTTTAAAAATAAGTAAATAAATAAAAATTAATATCAAATCATAACCATATTCACCATACAAATATTTAGTTTACTTTTTTCTCCTCTCTTCCAGCTTTTAGTTGGTATTGGTAAAAAGAATAACAATGGAATAATTTCACTTAGTAGAAAAATATTTTGAAATACTTATCAGAAGATCTTTGGTTACTTGAGATGCAGAAACATTATTTGCTACAAGATCTATTGAAGCATTCTGCCAGTGATACAGTCTTTGCAGAGAGAGAGTAAAAAAGTCTATTATAAGACAGTTTCCCATATTGTGTTATGTGATTTAAGCAACATTAAACAGTGTTCCAATAAAAGGAGTTCCATTGTTCAGTGAGTTTGTGAAGGCAGGGACCTTGTTTATTTTACTCACAATTGTATTCCTAGTGCTAGCACGTAGAAGATGCCCAGAAAATATGTGTCAACTGTCTAAAGAATAAATACTTTTTAATAAGTAATTTGATATAATTTGGAAAATATTAGATTAGTGCAACAGCCTAAAAAATACTTTTCCTCTTTCATTTCTTTCCCATTTATAGGTTTCTAAGATCCAACCATCAGTTCCTGAACTTTCCCTTGTGTTGGATGGCAATTTCATAGAATCAAATCCTCTGCCTAAGCCATTGGAAATGGTGAATAATGAAAATCCTTCTTTGTTGATTAACAACTCTGAACACTTGGAGCCATTGCAACCCCAGCTTTACAATGACAAACGCAGTCTAGAAGCTGAAGCTGGAGAGCTTTCCTTGAAAGGGCTACCAAGTCAATTAAGCCAGAGCACTGTTCCTTTGAGACACAGCAAAGGAAGACAGCCATCTAGCTGTAAGAACAGGAACCCGCATATCAGGAACAGTGTTAAACTATCTTCTCTTAATAGGCCATCTTCTGATACAAATGTATACACAGAAGAATATCCTGTAAGATCCTCCACATTTAATTCCAAGCAGTCTTCTCTTGCCTCACAGTCTCACCCACACAATTTTGTTTTTTCATCCCATAATTCAGGAAGACCAGTGGAACTTCAGATACCTACTCCACCACCACCGTCTTACTGTCCTACAAATGTTTGTAGTTGTTGTCAGCACCATGGCCACATGCAGTATAGTTCAATAAATTCTTGGCAAGGAATGAATACAGTAGGGTCTCTTCAAGACCTCCAGTCTGAAGCCCTTCACAAGCATTCATTATTTCACCCAGGTGGATGTCCAGCTCTGTACCCTGATGCATTCTGTTCTTCAAGTAGTCCTATAGCCTTGAGACCTCAGGGAAACACGGGTGGTTGCTCTCCCCACAGCATTGTAGAACCATCGCCTGTGGCAAGACTACCCTCACATGTGGACTCCTGTAACCCACCACCTTGTGCAGTATGCATGCACACACCCAAGACTGAGTCAGATAATGGAATGATGGGACTATCTCCAGATGCATATAGATTCCTCACAGAACAAGACAGACAGCTGAAACTGCTTCAGGCACAGGTTTGCGAGCTTTCTTAGTTCTTTTAATTCATGGTATTAATATGGTTTCTTAAAAATAACTGGCAATTCTTCAGTAATTACAGCTTATGGGGTAAAATTGTAGAATATCAAAACTAGAAAAAACCTTGGAAACTGAATTCTGGTTCCTTTTGTTTTACAGATAAGTAAAAAGAATTAGAGAAAATAATTTACGCAATGACACATTGCTAATTAGGAGTAAAACGGGGACTAGAAAGTAAGCCTTCTCTTCTCTGCCTTGTGCATATCCTAATCTACAACATAACTACATTTTTTTTTCATTTGTTACCTCTAACAAGACTATGTAGTTTAGTAAACCTTGGTATAAAACTAAATGTAAAACCTGCACAATGGATTCTGATGCAGCTCTAATTTGTCAACCCTGTAGTATGTTTAGTACTTTTAGCCAGTGTACCTTTAGAGAATAGATCTAGAACCTCTTCTCTATATCTATATTAGACATGTTTCACTCATTTTATTATGAAATGCTTCCTTTCTTCAGGCCTTTGTGGCAGTTTTCAGTCTTTTAGTTATATCATTACACCATTCAGTCTTGTACATTTTTTTTTTCCTTTTCTTACTGGTCCCCTTCTTCCACATACCACAAATCCCCTACCTCCGTCCTTCCCCCCGCCCCCCAGTATGAATGAAAACAACCTGAAATGTATTCTTCCATGTTTTGTCCATGATCCTGTAACTATGCAAATATATGTATAATGGACATTATATACATGTATGATTTTTTAAAAATCTTTGTTTTGTAAAACTGGAGTCATAGTGTTTGCATTTTGGAAAAACAAAGACAATTTAAAACTTCTGCTTAGGAGCACCTGGATGGCTTGGTCAGTTAAGCTGCATCTGCCTTTAGCTCAGGTCATGATCCCAGGGTCCCAAGTTCAAGCCCCTTGGTGGACTCCCCGTTCAGCAGGGAATCTGCTTCTCCCTCTCCCTCTACCGTCACTTGTGCGCTCGTGCTCTCTCTCTCCCAAATAAATAAGTAAAATCTTTAAAAAAAATTTTTTTAAAGACCAGTAATGCTTAAAAATGCTGTAGATAGGACACCTGAGAAAAATGCAGTTACACTGTTTTTTAGACCTAGTAAATTCTTGGAAATTGTAATATATGTTTGATTTTTACAAATCCTTACAAATATTTGGCACATATTTTAATGTAGCTAAAGATTTCACATTGAAAAGAAATAGTTCTCATTTATTTCTTGTTTTGTTTTTTAAAAAAGACTAAAAAGATCTTTTAAATAGAAATCTTAGTTACTTGGGATTAAAATGTAAATATAGACTAATGAGTACATTATATGCATCATACTTGGAAAATATAAAAAATGTAGAAAATGCTTTAATGATAAATACACATACTATTTTGCTCATGTGAAATTTTTTGAATTTATTTTAGGTACCACCTTATTTACATGTAAAAAAAGTATCTTAACACATTTTCTATTTCTAAGTATATATAGAACTGTCTTATTCTGTATAGGGTTTTGTTAAAATGATAACAAATTTTTTAATTAGTCTCCTATTCCACAGTTTGAAATTTCTGCTATTCCAAACAGTGCAGCAGTCAACATCCTTGTACTTGGCATTTCCCTGCATGTGTGCATATATCTGTAGCATAGATCCTTAGAAGCAAATTTGTGTAGTCGAAGAGAACACACATTTTAAATGTTCAAAGATAGCCAAACTTGTTCCTGTCCTAATGGAGACTTGTTCCAAGTCTCATTTTTGTGTAGTGGTGAAGGGATTGAGCTCTGGCACCAACCTCCTAGGGTTCTAGTCCATTTTCAGTGTAACATAAATTAATGCAATCTTGGACAAATTACTTCACCTCTCAGACTTCTGTTTTCTCATTCACAAAATAAGAATGTACATAAGTGTATGGAGTTCTAAGGATTGAATGAGTTACTAGGGAAAGGTGGCTTAGAATAGTGCCTGGCATATAGTTAGTGCTCGGTACATGTTAACTATTACTGTTTTCATTATCATTACTATTTCAGTTAATGACATCACTTCTCATCCTGTTGCTCAGGCAAAAATCCTGGGTGTCAGAAACCCAGGTTTCACTTTGCAGATGTATCTTGAACTAAACTGTTCCTTAACCATCTTTCCTGCTGCCTCCCTGATTGAAACCATCTTCTCTTATCCAACCATGCTACTTCCAGTACTGTCCCTATTTTTCCTGCAGTTGGAAACACGACAGCCATCTTCTTAACACTCAAGTCAGATCATAGGGCTTCTGCTTAACACTCTCAGTGGTTTTCTTTGCAATTAGAAAATCCAAATTTCTTACCCTGGCCCTTGAAACCTTGTCATTCGGCTCTGTGTGCCTCTTCTAGCTCTTCTCTTGCTGCTGCCTTCCATATTCACTACACTTCAGTTGCAGGGTGTGCTTTTTGTTCTTCAAAAACATGAACTTGTTTGTTTCCAATTTAGGTTCTTGAGCTTGCCCTCTGCCCAAACCTTCTTTTTTTTTTTTAAAGATTTTATTTATTTGACAGAGACACAGCGAGAGAGGGAACACAAGCAGGGGGAGTGGGAGGGGGAGAAGCAGGCTTCCCACTGAGCAGGGAGCCCGATGGGATCATGACCTGAGCTGAAGGCAGATGCTTAATGACTGAGCCACCCAGGCGCCCCTGCCCAAACCTTCTAATGGCTCGCTCTTTCTCAGCAGTCAGGTCTTAATGATGAATTTTTGGTTTTTGTGTCTCGGGAGCTCTAGGGAGGGAACTTACAAGATTCATCACTGTATTTTTTTAGCACCTTGAATAGTACTTCACTTATAATAATTACTTAATGCGTATTTTGTAACTTGAATGAGTGAGAATGGCCACCCAGAAAAGTTGTACCGATTTAATACTCCAAAGTTGTTTTTCTACATCTCCAACATGTGCATATCAAACTATTAAAATTAGTATCAGTCTTATAAAAAGACACTTTTTTAATTTGCACTGTATTGTGTAATCAAGATGGATCATTTTATTATTTATTGGCCATTTATTTTTTCTTTGTGTAAAGTCTGTCATTTACTCATTTTAGGTCCTTTTCTAATTAATTTGTAAGAGCTCATTGTATATAAGGAAATGGGCTTTTTATCATGTATATGTGGTAAGCGTTTCTTACAGTTTGTCTTAAATGTTTTTTGTTTTGGGCGCCTGGGTGGCTCAGATGGTTAAGCGTCTGCCTTCGGCTCAGGTCATGATCCCAGGGTCCTGGGATCAGGTCCTGCATCGGGCTCCCTGCTCCTTGGGAGCCTGCTTCTCTCTCTCTCTCTCTCTCTCTCTCTCTCTCTCTCTGTCTCTCATGAATAAATAAATAAAATCTTAAAAAAAATGTTTTTTGTTTTAACCATTTGTTTTGTGCAGAATATTCCAATTTAGATGTAATTAGATTTACCGGTCATTTTCTATCTGGGTGTTAATTATGTTTAGAAAAGCCTTCTTCAAGATTATAAAAAATTTATTCTTCACCTTCCCTCCTCCTTCAGGATTATATTTTTGCTTTATTTTGATATATGAGATAAGAGGTTTTTCCTTTTTAATCCTCAGCTGGCCTCATATATTTATTGAATAGTATATCTTTTTGTTATTGACTTGGAAATATTTTTTTTATGGTGTAATGGAAGTATCATATGTTTGTATCTATTTCTGTACTATATTCTCCATTGATTTGCCTGTCTGTTCTAGCACCAGTACCATTCAGTTAATCACTATAGCTTTAGTGAATGTTTCCTGTGTGATCTCTCTAAACCTTACTCTTCTCATCTGTAAATTGGGAGCAGTGATTAGTATTATATGTAGATTTGATGGTTAAATGAGTTTATGTATATGTGTGTGTGTCTATATGTATATGTGTATATATAAAGTGGTTAGTGTAGGTCCTGGCTATAGTAAACACTCAAAAAGTTACAATTATTTTGTTTCTTAATCCTTACAGCTACTTTAGTTTTAAGTGATACTGAGGCTCATAGTGGTTAAATAGCTCATCCTAAAAGTTAACAGAGTAGCATTTAAACTTATATCCTCATGATACCAAAATCCACACTGTAAACCACTATAAATACATAAGCCATTTTGTATTATTAATGCAGGTTATATTTCTACTGATCTTAATTATTTTTTGATAATTTATATTTTCCTATATTAGTAAAGTTAATTTGCTGAAATGAATGAGATGAATTGAACACAATAGTATAATTTTTTTTTTAAGATTTTGTCAGAGAGCGAGAGCACGCCACAAGCAGGGGGAGTGGCAGGCAGAGGCAGAGGGAGAAGCAGGCTCCCTGCTGAGCAATGAGCTGGATGAGGGACTTGATCCCAGGAGACTGGGATCATGACCTGAGCCAAAGGCAAACACTTAACTGACTGAGCCACCCAGGCATCCCCACAATAGTATAATTTATAGGGAATTAGAAAATCACAGTGTTTAAAAAGGGAGGCTCTTCTACTCCTAAGTATATACCCAAGAGAAATGAAAAAAATATGCTCACATAAAAACTTGTACACAAATGTTCGTAGCAACTTATCTCTAATAGCCAAAAGTGAAAACAGTCCAATATCCATGAACTGATGAATGGGTAAACACAATGTGATGTATCCAACAACACAGATGAACTTTGAAAATGTTACGCTGAGTGAAAGAAGCAAGATACAGAGCCACATATTGTGTGGTTTTATTTATGTAAAATGTCCAGAATAGGCAAATCTGTAGAGACAGAAAGTAGATTAGTGGTTGCCAGAGGGCTGGGTGAGGGCAATGGAGAGTGACCACTAGTGGGTACAGGTTTTTTCAGGGGATTAATGAAAATGTTCTAGAATTAGATGGTGGTGATGGTTGCAAACTTTGTGGTGAATTTAATAAAAACCACTGACTTGTATACTTTAAAGGGATGAATTTTATGATATGTGAGTTATATTTCAGTTTCAAAAGGAGCAGGGGAAACTTTTGGTGTTTGAACCTCAGCTTTGCTACTTGTTAAGTTACATGACCTGGGCAAGTAACTTTAATTTCTCAAGTTTTCTTATCTGTAAAGTGTGTTTAATAGTATCTACTACTATGTACAGTAGTTTAATAGTATCTACTACTACTTCTTTATGGGGTGGATTGTAATAATCATGCATAAAAGCTCCTACTGTAGTGTCTTATAAAACAGGAAGCATTCAGTATGTGTTTGCTACTGTTATTAATAATTCCCAGTTTTAGCATGGCCAAACATGGGGTAATCTGATTAACCTTTATAAGAAGAACCTTGTGTAAAAATGTTCACTATTTGGTAAAGAGTTAGAATATAGCTCCTAATTTTGATTTGTAAGTGGAATCGGAATGAAATACTGATAAGAAGTGTTAATATTCAGGCTTTTTTACACAAGTGTCCGTTTATGAATGCCAGTTTAAATACCTTTATGTTTTCACTTTTTTTTTTTTGATGGTTTATAAAAACTTATTGAAATTGGAAATTTGATCTTCTATCACATCACATAAGCATCCATTCAGGTGCCTTTCAACTGGTAAGCTGCTCTCATAACTGGATTGCTGCTCTCATAAACACCCTCTAAATCTTCAGGTTGGCAAGTCTGCCTTAGCTTAAAACTCCTTGTTCCAGGCTTTGTAAGGTGCCCCAAACTCTTCACACCTTTATATGAAAATGTCTTCAAACTAAGTACCCCAAGCAAGCCATCCATGATAGTGGCCTATAAGCCCAAATACGGTCGGTCCAGACATGTGTTAAGACTCAAGTCCACCCCTTCAACTTCCAGCTACTTCTGTTTAGTGCCTCTTTGCCCATGGCGAGGGTGTGAAACTTAGGACCTTGGCAGCCACTTCCACCCCTTTGGCACAGAACTGTCCATCAGAAGCCATCAAAAGCCACACTGCATTCGTGCCCAGCACAATTCATACGGAACGCCGACCCCTAGCCTCGAAAAAAGCTTATGTTTTCACTTTTAAATTTACACTTAGCCATGGGGCACCTGGCTGGCTCAGTCAGTAGAACATGCAACTCTTGATCTCAGCATTCTAAGTTAGAGCCCTGTATCGGGCATAGAGTTTACTTTAATAAATAAATAAATAAATAAAATTTACACTTAGCCTACTTAAGTGCTTCTTAATAATGAAGGATAGTGATTTCTGCATTGAATAAGTTTTATGGTATGATCTAACTGAATTGTGAGAAAATAGAGTTAAAAGTTATTTATAATTGGGGCCTTTGTAATTCATTTTTATTTTATTTTATTTTTTAAGATTTTATTTATTTATTTGACAGAGGGAGACATAGCGAGAGCAGGAACACAAGCAGGGGGAGTGGGAGAGGGAGAAGCAGGCTTCCTGCAGAGCAGGGAGCCCGATGTGGGGCTCGATCCCAGGACCCTGGGATCATGACCTGAGCCGAAGGCAGACGCTTAACGACTGAGCCACCCAGGCGCCCTGTAATTCATTTTTAAACTCCACTGCCAATTTGGTTGATTACTTCACTGCCAGTTTAAAATATGTTTTTAATTGATATAGATTCAGCGTTTATTGGAAGCACAGTCTCTGCAGCCCTGTTCCCCCAAGACAACCTCTGCTGAAGACACGGTGCAAGCTGCGAGACAAATGGAGCTGGTTTCCATGGAAGCACAGTCTTCCCCTGGCTTGCATATGAGAAAAAGTGTAAGCATTGCTGTGAGCACAGGTAATTTCATTTTTTTTTATTTGTAAGGAATTTTTAAAAAATGCTTTTCAAATCACTTAAAATTTTTACATTGAAATTGGTACATGGTACAAACAGAACCAAAGCCAAGGTGAAGAGAGTATCACTTACTTAAGTCTTTGTAATTTTACTTTTTATGAAGGAGAACTATATCTGAAAACAAATGGGAGACCACATGACATAATACATTGTTTTTGCTTCTTTCCTGGACTGGACCCAATTCTTATAAGAAAAGTCATCTGTGGGCGCCTGGGTGGCTCAGTTGGTTAAGCCACTGCCTTCGGCTCAGGTCATGATCCTGGAGTCCCGGGATCGAGTCCCGCATCGGGCTCCCTGCTCAGCGGGGAGTCTGCTTCTCCCTCTGACCCTCTTCCCTCTCGTGCTATCTCTCATTCTCTCTCTCAAATAAATAAAATCTTTAAAAAAAAAAAAAAGTCATCTGTGGTTTGAGGGATCAGGGAAGGTTTGTTTCATCCATGCAGTGGTATTGATTCTGGGCCTTAAAGGGTATGTAGGGTTTTCGTAGGTGGAGTGGAGAGATGGCAGAACAGGATGGGTAGAGGAAATAGTGGGGGCACAGTGAGAAAACACAGGGCTCTGAATTGTCTAGTACTGTCCTATTTTATGGAGAACCTTTATTACATCTGTCGAAAAGGAATCTCTCCTTTATTCAGTAAGCACTATTGAAGGCCTTTTTGAAAAATCAGTTAATAATGTAAATGACATATATTTTTTTACATGTTTGCTCACCACCAGACCATGAGATCTTTAAGAATGTCCCCAAGATCTAGCAAGATGCCTAGTACATAAGGTGATGGTGGTAAGAATGAAGAGAAAGAGTTGTATAGGGTGTTAAGATTTGGTAACTAATTGGATATGGCAATTGGAAGAGGTAGGATTCTAAAGTTACTGGTTTGGATCCCGGAACAGAAATAGGATATTAGTGGAAAAATCAGTGAAATCCAAATAAAGTCTGGAGATTTAGTTAATTGTAATGCACTAATATTGGTTTCTTAATTTTGAAAAATGTGCCACGGTAATGTAAGATGTTAACATCAGGTCAAACTGGTGAGTATACAGTATACTCTGTATTATCTTCTCTATAAATCTAGAATTATTCTAATATTAAAAGTTTATTAAAAATGAAAATAAAAGTTACTCCAGGATTTTCAGCTTAGATGACCTAGGGAAGACAAGTTAGAAAAGCAAAAGAGAGAGGATGAGTTCGGTCTAAATATCTATTGCATTTGAGCTGCTTTGGGAAATGAAGATGGTGATACCCAAACATTTGATGAGTGGAGATGGGTTGATGACCTAAGATTTGTAGAAGTAACAGATGAAGATTTGAGCCTGGAGAATAAAGATTTGAGAGGGAGAAAAAGAAGGAAGGCAGATTTCTATATTCTGTCTCTGAACCCATTTGTTAACTGTCCATGTAGAGGGGAGCAAGGAGGGAGGGGAGGAAGAACCTCTTGTACATTTATAAGTCAGATATTACTGAGTATTAGTCAAGATTCTTTGGCTGCAAGTAATGTAAACCACTTTGAAATAATTTAAGTAAGGAAGGGGAATTTAGTGGAAGGATATGAGGTTGTTTCATGAAAACCAAGGCCAAGAGTGGGGCTGACTTCAAGAAAAAACTGGAACTAGAAACTGGAATACCATTAGGACTGTCCAGCTATATGGCTGTTTTAGTCAGTTTTTCTACTCAGTTTTTTCTAGCTCACCCAAAGCTCCAAAGTGTATGTGTTACACAGTTTTAGCCATGTACACAAACCAGGTTACTCTCCTTTAGTCTTGTTTCAAATTGCAGAGAACCTGAATGGCCTAGTTTGGATTAGGGTTTAAAAACCTGGTTCAGGGCGCCTGGGTGGCTCAGTTGGTTAAGCAACTGCCTTCGGCTCAGGTCATGATCCTGGAGTCCCGGGATCGAGTCCCACATCGGGCTCCCTGCTCAGCAGGGAGTCTGCTTCTCCCTCTGACCCTCTTCCCTCTCGTGCTCTCTGGCTCTCATTCTCTCTCTCTCAAATAAATAAATAAAATCTTAAAAAAAAAAAAAAAACCTGGTTCAGTGGTAAGGGGGTTGAGAAGCATGTAATAGGGACATATCTGCTGGAGTCTCACCTTTGTTAATTGCGGGGGTGACAGTTCCCAGAGGAAGTTTGTATATGGTAAAGGGGTAGTGGACAAGGAGCTGTGGGTATTGTGAGCTAACCAAACATACATACCAAACATACCAAGAAAGTGCAGTTTCCTCCTATAAACTCTGTACTTTTACTGTATTATACTTGGTTCTCTCTGTATCTGTTCCTAGACTATAAGCTTTTGGGATCTCAAACGCTGCCTTATTCCACGGTTGTAACTCATTAGCTAACATGATGCCTGAATCATAATGTGTGTGAATAAAAGATAATTGAATGAATTCATTTACATGTTTAAACTGATACTCTAAAATTATTTTGAAACCTCATAGATTCATATTCAGTTATTCAACTTGGATGACCTGGGGTCATTATTATGCAGAAAAAAGTATTCTTAATAATTGTTAGAACTAAATGGCTTTTAAAAGCATGTTTATTCTATAGTGATACTTAATTTCCTGAAGGTATGTATTGGTAAATATTCTAGAAGAGTAGTAGCACTTACATAATTTTTTCATAATTGTCCTTTCTTTTTTTTTAAGATTTATTTATTTATTTGAGAGAGAGAGCATGTGCATGTGAGCTTTGGGGGGGCGGGGCACAGAGGGAGAGGGAGAGAGTCTCAAGCAGACTTCTCACTACTCTGAGTAAGGTGCCTGTCATGGGGCTTCATCTCATGACCCCGAGATCATGACCTGAGCCAAAACCAAGAGTTGGATGCTAAATCGACTGAGCCACCCAGGGGCCCCAAACATTTGATTTTTAAATACTTGCCTGATACTACATATGTCTGATAGGTCCCTGAATATTCTCATAAATATTGTAAAGATAGAAATCAGAATGCCTAGGGACTCGTTATATGTTTTCCCTTGTTTTTCAGAACAGCAGTTTTCTGTACACACACGTACACCCTAAATTGTATTCAGAACCTTTATATGTGAAACGCGTCATTTGAGAGCTACACCTCTTGAAGAGACGGGGCCCAGAATGTCCCCTGTTCCTTTTGTCCCAGGTTGTTTATTGTTGTTTTTTCTTTTTTAAGTAGGCTCCACGCCCAGTGTGGAGTGCAATGTGCTTGAACTCACAACCCTCAGATCAAGATCTAAGCTGAAACCAAGGGTCAGACACAACTGACTGAGCCACCCAGGCACCCCCCCCCACTTTGTACACCAGTTTTCTGTCTTTCCACCTTACCTCTTTATGGCATTTCTGAGAAGATATAATCTGAAAACATTCTAGGTAATTGTGTTAACACAATATAGTTAGTCTTACTTAGAGGTTTGTCAGAGGATTATTTTTATGGTAGAATATTTGTTTCAGTATCTGGTTAATCATTTAACCTCCAGGTGCCAGCTTGTTTTGGAATGCAGCAGGCGATGATCAAGAGCCTGAATCTCAGCAGAGGCAAGATGATACCAAGATTTCCAGTGAGGACATGAATTTTTCTGTTGATATTAATAATGAAGTCTCAAGTCCTCCAGGTAGCGCATCTTCATTAAAAGCAGTTGATATTCCCAGCTTTGAAGAAAGCAACATTGCTGTGGAAGAGTTTAATCAACCACTTTCTGTATCCAAGTAAGGTGTCTTTGATTCAAAATTCATCCTCGTTTTTTTCTTTTTAAATTCTAATATTCTTTTGGTGTTTTAACTCAGAAACTGTTTGTTTTGTAAATGGTATTTTCAGTAGTGTCTTTCCTGATATGGTTCTTATGTAACTGACGATTCTGGCCCTTCTAGAACTGTTCCCATATGTCAGTCACTGGATGTGTTACAGTCTAGCTGAATCAGAACATCTGAAGAAAATTTCAGACATACATATGCTTAAGCCTCACTGTAGAGATTCTGATAACTAGTCCCCGGATGGAGATGGGGCCCTAAATTTTGTAAATTTTTAAATATTGTGCATATTGCAATTATATGTATATAAGAATTTATTTCTGAGATTTACTTCAAAGTAACCTGGTGAGAAAAAATAGCTGGTGGGAGATGAAATGGCTAGGGGGGTAATTGGAGTAAGATTGATTGTAAGTACATAATTTTTTTTAAAGATTTATTCATTTTAGAGAGTTGTGTGTGAGCGAGGCAGGAGATGGGGGGAGGCTTGGGGTAGAGAGAGAGAGAGAGAATCCCAAGAAGACTCCGTGGTGAATGCGGAGTCCTAAATGGGGCTCGATTCTAGGACCCTGAGATCATGACCTGAGCCGAGATCAAGAGTTCCCTGCTCAACTGACTGAGCCACCCAGGTGCCCCCTGGGAGTAGATAATTTTTAAAACTGTATAATGATTTGTTATACTGTTCTTTCCTGTGTTTGAAATTTTTCATTAAGTTGGTTTTTTTTTTTGTATTAAACAAGGATTTCAAAGTAATTTAGATCTTCAGGAAATTAGGAAAGAAATTCAAATATCTTTGAGCTTCTGATAAGTGCTGCCACAGAACTAGGCCTTAGAGATTAAGCAGTAGGTTAGGAAAAGCTGCTAACTTCTTCGAGGTTCCATGACTTGCAGAGACAAACAATGACCATAAAAGTAACAAGTAATTTAATTTCATATAATGACAACTCCTGTGAAGAAAATAAACCGGGGTGATCAAGTGGAGTGTAACTGGGATGGTGGCATGGGAGTGAGGGATATATTAAGTAGGGGATGGTAAAGGAAGCCTTCCCTGAGCTGGTAACATTTGAGCAGTGACTAGAATGATAAGGAGCCAGCTCTGAGAACATCTGAAGAGTGTTCCTGGTAGAAGAAATGGCAGGTATAGATCCTGAGGTGTGCGGGAACTTGACAGTTCAGGAAACAATTAGGAAAACCATTGTGGCTAGACACAGTGACAGGGAGGGATGGAAGGAGGCAGAGGGAAGAGGGGGGTGTGGGAGGGGGGAGAGAGAGAGAGAAAGCGCTCAAGAGAGCATGCTTATAGGAAATGGGGTCAGGGATATAGGCAGGAGCCAAATTATGTGGGGGCTTTGTAGGATGTAGAAAGGAGCTTTGAATTTATTCTGTGCTCATTAAATCCAGGGAGGATTTTAGACAAAAGAGTGGTATCTGATTTTTCATTTTTTAAATAGCTGTTCTGTGGCAAATGAACTGAAGAAGTTTAGAGTGGAAGTAGGGAAACTGGTTAGTACAGTAAAAACCACCCCAAGTGAGATGAAGGAGCTTGGACTTGTGGAAGTGCTAGAAGGAATCAGGTGCAGAATAAATAGTATAAATTTGAAGACAGAGGAATGATGTAGGTGTAAAACACCATATATAACAGTTAAAAGAGGTGAATTCGGTGGTGGGATGGCATGGGGCAGACAACTGATTATTTTTTTTAAGTTATAAGCCTTGTGATAATATTTGACTTTTTTTTTTTTGCTTGATACTTTCTAGGTACATTTTATTTTTATTTATTTTTAAATTTAAATTTTAGGTAGGTTTTTTTTAATTTATTTATTAGAGAGAGAGAGAAAAAGCACAAGCAGGGGGAGCAGCAGGCAGAGGGGGAAGCAGGCTCCCCGCTGAGCAAGGAGCCCTATGTGTGACTCGATTCCAGGACCCTGGGATCATGACCTGAGCCGAAGGCAGACGCTTAACCGACTGAGCCACCCAGGCGTCCCTAAATTTAGGCAGTTAACATACAATGCAATATTGGTTTCTGGAGTAGAATTCAGTGATTCATCACTTACATACAACACCCAGTGCTCATCACAAGTGCCCTCCTTAATACCCATCACCCATCTAGCCCATCCCTCACCCACATCCCTCATCAACCCTCACTTTGTTCTCTGTTGTTAAGAGTCTCTTATGGCTTATTTCCCTCTCTCTCTTTTTTTTTCTTTTCCCCCTTCCCATATATTCTTCTGTTTTCTTTCTTAAATTACACATATGAGTGGTATTTGCCTTTCTCTGACTGACTTATTTCACTTAACATAATACACTCTAGCTCCATCTGTCGTTGCAAGTGGCAAGATTTCATTCTTTTTGATGGCCAGTAATATTCCTGTGTGTGTGTGTACACACCACATCTTTGTCCATTCATCAGTCAATATCCATAGTTTGGCTATTGTTGATAATGCTGCTGTAAATGTAAACACTGGGGTGCATGTACCCCTTTGATCTGTATTTTTGTATCCTTTGGGTGAATACCTAGTAATGTAATTGCTCGATCATAGGGTAGTTCGATTTTTAACATTTTGAAGAACCTCCATACTGTTCTCCAGAGTGGCTGCACCAGTTTGCATTCCCACCAACAGTGCAAGAGGGTTCCTCTTTCTTCACATCCTTGCCAACACCTGTTGTTTCTTGTGTTGTTAATTTTAGCCATTCTGACAGTTGTGAGGTGGTATCTCATCCTGGTTTTGATTTGTATTTCCCTGATGATGAGTATTGTTGAGCATCTTTTCATGTGTCTTTAGCCATCTGGATGTCTTTTTTTTTTTTTTTTAAAGATTTTATTTATTTATTTGACAGAGACACAGCGAGAGAGGGAACACAAGCAGGGGGAGAAGGAGAGGGAGAAGCAGGCTTCCCGCTGAGCAGGGAGCCTGATGCAGGGCTCCATCCCAGGACCCTGGGATCATGACCTGAGCTGAAGGCAAACGCTTAACGACTGAGCCACCCAGGCGCCCCATCTGGATGTCTTTTTTGCAACAGTGTCTGTTCATGTCTTCTGCCCATTTCTTAACTGGGTTATTTGTTTTTTGGGTGTTGAGTTTGATAAGTTCTTTATAGATTTTGGATGCTAACCCTTTATCAGATATGTCATCTGCAAATATCTTCTCCCATTCCATAGGCTGCCTTTTAGTTTTGTTGATTGTTTCCTTCACTGTGCAGGAGCTTTTTATCTTGATGAAGTCCCAATAGTTCATTTTTGCTTTTGTTTCTCTTGCCTGTGGTGACGTGTCTAGTAAGAAGTTGCTATGGCTGAGGTCAAAGAGGTTTCTGCCTGTGTTCTCCTCTAAGATTTTAATGATTTCCTGTCCCACATTTAGATCTTTCATCCATCTTGAATTTATTTTTTTGTGTATGGTATAAGAAAGTGGTCCGGTTTCATTCTTCTGCATGTTGCAATCCAGTTTTCCCAACACCATTTGTTGAAGAGACTGTCTTTTCCATCAGATAGTCTTTCCTGCTTTTTCAAAGATTAGTTCACCATATAGTTGTGGGTCCATTTCTGGGTTCTCTATTCTGTTCCACTGATGTATGTGTCTCTTTTTGTGCCAGTACCATACTGTCTTGGTGATGACAGCTTTGTAATAGAGCTTGAAATCCGGAATCGTGGTGCCTCCAGTTCTGTTTTTCTTTTTCAGAATTGCTTTGGCTATTCGGGGTCTGTTGTGGTTCCATACAGATTTTAGGATTATTTGGTCTAGCTCTGTGAAAAATATTGGTGGTATTTTGATGGGGATTGCATTAAATGTGTAGATTGCTCTGGGTAGTATAGACATTTTAACAAGGTTTGTTCTTCTAATCCATGAGCATGGAATGCTTTTCTATTTGTGTCCTCTAATATATGTCATTTTAAATTACTCTGATTACCATAATAAAAACAATAAACATGTTCCTCCAGAAGACTAGAAAACTAGAAACATTTATCTCCTTTGCTCAGTATAGTTTATGTTTTAATTATATAATTAAATTCTTATAGTATGTACCACAGTGTATTAAAAAAGGTATGTAAATATGTCTCCCCCATTAAATTGAATTCCTATAGGGCAGGGATCATATTCATTTCTGTATCTTTTTTTTTTTTTTTAAGATTTTATTTATTTGAGAGAGAGAACGTGAGAGACAGAGCACTAGCAGAGGGGGAGGAGCAGAGGGAGAAGCAGACTCCCTGCTGAGCAGGGAGCCCAATACAGGGTTCGATCCCAGGACTTTGAGATCATGACCTGAGCTGAAGGCAGACGCTTAACCAACTGAACCATCCAGGCACCTCGATTTCTGTATCTTTAGAACTTGACCCCATGTTACCTATTTCGTATGAGTTCAATGATAGGAAGAGCAATTTAAGGTGAGCCCCAGAATAAGTCCACATTTTATTTGGAATAATTATAGAAACTGAGAAAAAGGGTGCCTGGCTGGCTCAGTCGGAAGAGCATGTTACTCTTGATCTCGGGGTTGTGAATTTGAGCCCCATGTTGAGTGTAGAGATTACTTAAATAAAATAAAATAAATAAATAAATAAATAAATAAATAACTTAAAAAATAACTGAGAACCAAGAGGAACTAACAATGGTTATCCTTATTTATCCTCCTTGACTTCTGTAAACTGTAGACTTCTTTCTAGAATTATGGGGTTTCCCCCTGAAACAGTTTCTAAGTCAGAGCTTATACATCTCCAATCCATTGTGGTTTTTAACTTGAGAAACCTATCTGAGTTCATTGGAAGAAGGTGGTTAATTGCTTTTTCAGGGTAGCTAATCAGCTCTATTGATTCCAACACATAACTAGATGTAAATCTGATCTTCAGCATAATGTATTGATGTGGATTAAATACTGTCTTCGTTGTTGTCTGTAGTGGTTTTGGTGCTTCTTATAGGATTCTTCCCAGATATGTGGTCTGATTCATGCTGTGCTTCCCACTGCTAAGT